TATTATGCATATATGTAGTGTAACATAGTGTGTACATATGTAATGTAACATAGTATACATATGTAGTGTAACATTGTGCATATATGTAGTACAACATAGCATGTATATATATAGTGTAATATAGCGTGTATATGTGTAGTGTAACATAGTGCATATATGTAGTGTAATATAATGTATGTATATGTATATATGCTATATTTGTAGTAAGTCCGAAATTCGTAAAGAAAGATGCTAACCAAATCTATCGAGAATCCTCGAAACACTAAAAAAAACCTTGAAAACCAGAAAACCGTAAGGAATAAGTGACGAGTTCGATCGTCGACCGTCAAGCAGCGTTCCGCGACGTAAATCGCGCGAAATATCGAGAGCAGAATGGCGAGGATAGCGCGCAACGAACCGATGTCTCGTAAATAGCGAGGAGAATCGGCCTCGAAACGTTGGACGTTTCACGGTGCGCAGCTGCGTGGATGCGAGGAATTCCATAAATTCGCGGCACGGTTATGCCCGCCGCCGTTCTTTATCGATAGCTTGGATCTAGCTAAACGGACAACGCGTAAAACGCTCGCATAATTGGACGATGCGAGGTGTAAAATCGCCGGCGATAATTTAAGCCCGGATGATAAGTCGCTCCTCTCTTCTCCTTGGAATCTCGTTGGAAACTTAAAAATATTGAGACATTCTAGTTGCTAATTTAACCTTGTGGACGATTAGGCAGAATTTTGTTTGGGAATAAGTCTTTTATGATTTTTCTTTGAAGGCAAGTATTGAACGCAGTTGCTTCTTAATTTGGTGTAATATTTTGACGAATTGGACTCGCAATATACTCCTGATGCATCACTGGTGCACTCTTGACGCACCAGTGACGCACTCCTGTCGCATCAGTGACGCACTCGTGACGCACTCAGTGTTTAAGCTCTTACACTATTTTGGCGAATTGGACTCGCAACGTACTCCTGACGCAACAGTGGTGCACTCTTGACGCACCAGCGACGCACTCCTGACGCAACAGTGACGCACTCCTGTCGCATCAGTGACGCACTCGTGATGCACTCAGTGTTTAAGCTCTTACACTATTTTGGCGAATTGGACTCGCAACGTACTCCTGACGCACCAGTGGTGCACTCTTGACGCACCAATGACGCACTCCTGACGCATCAGTGACGCACTCCTGACGCACCAGTGATGTCCTCATGGCGCACTCGGGTCTTAACCTCTTACGGCATTTTGACGAAACAGATTCGTAACCTAATCTTGACGCACCAGTGACGCACCAGAGACGTCCTCATGACGCACTCGGTTTTTTAAACTCTTACGGCATTTTGATGAAATAAAATCGTAACGTAATCTTGACGGACCAGTGACGTCCTCATGACGCACTCGGTTTTTAACCTCTTACGGCATTTTGATGAAATAAACTCGTAACCTAATCTTGACGCACCAGTGACGTCCTCATGACGCACTCATGACGCACTCATGACGCACTCTGTTTTTAACCCCTTACGGCATTTTGACGAAATAAACTCGTAACGTAATCTTGACGCACCAGTGACGCACTAGTGACCTCACGACGCACCAGTGACGCACTCAGAAAAATATGAACTGGTACCGTTGAAACGTCAATTCCAGTAAACCAGAGACATGCACGGTACAATAAGTGGCAGATGTATGAAATGGGTTTCCAGGTTCCATATAGAGAAATTGTGGACTCGAGGATTATCTGTGGACTTAACGATGACGTAGCGAATAAAGTAAACCTGGATCGGTGAGGATATAAGCTAGGTGGAGAAGTACGCTGAAACGGGAGGAGCTATGCATATGTACGAACATGATCATACAATTAGAAAGTACAAGTACAGGATAAAACGAGTAACTAGAAGTTACGGTTTAATAAGAACATCGTAGGAATAAAAAACGAGTAACAGTTGTAAGTTTGAATAAGAAAAAAATGTCGAACAGCTTATCGTTTAATCGAACCAGCAGCATAATATTTCAAAAGCCCATAAAACTCGTGTAGCACTGCCAATAAAAATCGATGAAAAAGGCAAAGGCCCCACAAATCACCGCGAGGAGTACAGACAAATATCGAAGCAATAAGACCGGCTTTCCAGCAACCTGTCGGAAAGCGTATAAAAGTTTCCGTGCTTCGATAAATCATGCACGGACGAGAGAAAAAGGATGATTAAAAAGAAGCGGACGAAAAAAAGGGTTTCGAACAAGAGGAAGATCGGGAAGAGGAAAGGGAAGGAGCCCGCATGTGACATTCGAGACACGCTCCTTTACCCTTTTTCTCCTCGTGGTGTTCTTTCTCGAATGGCTTTGCGTCGAAAGGAGGAACGAGAGAAAGGAAGAAGATTGAATCGTCTACCGGACCAGCTGGTGCACACCTCTTTCCTTTGCTCGTTAATCCCTCCTTGCCTGTTCCTCCTCACGAACATTCAACCACGCAACCTTATTGTACGAGATTGTCCTGGAAACCGGGACAAAAGGATTCTCCGACGCACGTGCAACCACGGATGAGGGCTAGTTGCAATTGACTCCTCATCAAAAATTTCTGCTTAAAATTCAACGTGAAATATAACCAAATAGGTACATAATCATTGCCCCAATTAAGTATACAAGAATTAATAGATAAATAATAGATAAGTCTCACATAACTCATAAGTCTCATCGGAATAAACAAATGCGGAAAGGAACTAGTGATGGGTTCGAGCGAAAAGAGTCCACGTTCAAATCTTGCGTAATTTTTCAATTATCAAGTGTCTACACCTTACGTCCCTGAAACCCGCAAACAGCTGAGACTCCCGGTTTCGAAGGCTTTTCCCATGAATAAACAAATGTGGACAGGAACAAGTAGTGATGGGTTCGAGCGAAAAAGAGTACATGTTCAAATCTTGCGTAATTTTTCAATCATCTAGACCTTATGTCCCTGAAACCTGCAAGCAGCTGAGACTTCCGGTTTCGAAGGCTTTTCCCATGAATAAACAAATGTAGAAAGGAACAAGTAGTGATGGGTTCGAGCGAAAAGAGTCCCTGTTCAAATCTTGCGTAATTTTTCAATCATCAAGTGTCTAGACCTTATGTCCCTGAAACCCGCAAGCAGCGAGACTTCCGGTTTCGAAGGCTTTTCCCATAACAATCCCTCGGCGGATGCATTTACCCGCTCGAGCGGCGTAAACCAGCGCGATGTAACCGCGATAAATGGAGAGGATCAAAGAGCAAGATCCTTGCCGAGAGTGGAGCTGTAATTGCAGTTGTTAATCCGACGGGAAGTCCGTAACCCTCCATAAATATCAGGCGTTCCGTACTTTATTTTCGAGTAGTACAAAATGAAAACTGATTTTTAATGAAAGCTGATGTTCGAATGAAAATCAAGTTCCAGTTCGAACTATCACATATTGATAACCGTCGTAGAATCTAGCATCTTGAAGATCCTACGAGCCCACAAAATGGTTCTTCCTGCATAGAACGGAGGGGAATGTTTTACAAACGTGTATTCCGGAGTTAATAGGACTTTGAGCGGTGATTTCGGTGAAAAATATTTGGTTAACCGTTCAAAGAGCCTGGAAAGAATTCAAAACACTTTCCCTCGAGTACCCGAGACACTCCAAGTATTTTGATAAATGTCTACGAAGAGTGTTTTCGGTAGCCAACCACTTAAACTTCTCATGGAAAAGCTTCCAGACTCCGGACTATCAAAATAGATATATTTTACATTCGGATAGAAGTTTACATTCACGCAATCTTTATAATCAGACAGACATAAGCACACAATTTTCACGAACAAGACATTTATAAAGTGATCTCTGTATCGAGTATTCTATGACGAAAAATGAACTGCAAAATTCCAAATAGCGAGAGTTAATTTCTCCAGTAGGGAACGATAGAAGTGTGTACTCAGGCGGGAAACATAAACACGTTAAAATTCCATTTCGGCGAGTTTTCAGAACGGTCGGAAAAATAAATAAAAAAGACCAAGTGGAATAATGAAAGAAAAGGCCGCCGAAACGCGGTAATTGGTTCGCGACGACGACCGCTGGCCCATTAGACGTGTTTTTTCTAGCCGACGTTTTACCAGAGATAATATTTTGAAGCATCTTCCCTATACAAACACGAGTTTTCGACGTTCACCGCCAATAACGTGCCGTTTGCAAACAACCCCTCTGCGTCAACCCTTAACAATTTCGCTACGATACACCTCCAACTTCCCTCACATTTACTTTTCATGTCACGCAAATTATAATAACTTGTAATCACAACCATAATGATAATAATATCTTGTAATTATAACCATTATGATAGGATAACCATAACCATTATGTAATGACTTTACTTAACACTAAAGGGGTTAACACTAAAACTACCAAAGTTATCACTTTACAAGTTCTGTAAGCTACAAGATTTCTTTAAAGATTTCTTGACTTTTATGATACAGAATTAATTTGTACATTTTATGTATTATCATTTGTCTATTTACTGAACTGTACTGATCTTTATGGACATTAAGAATTAATGTGTACAATAATTTATACTTCATCATTTGTCTATTTATTTAACTGTATTAATCTTTATGGACATGAAGAATTAATGTGTACAATAATTTATACTTCATCATTTGTCTATTTATTCAACTGTACTGATCTTTATGGAGATGAAGAATTAACATGTACAATAATTTACATTTCATCCTTTGTCTATATGTATATTCAACTGTACTAATCTTCATGAAGATGAAAAATTAATATGTACAATTATTTATGTTTTATCATTTGTTATATTCTTCAACCTCAATTTTAATCTCAAAGTGTATCACACCCTGGTAGATTTAGTGTTAACATTATTTCATAACTACCAGAAAATACTGATGGTCTGCTGAAAATGACTGTATAAACCTTCTGTAAAACAATTTATCATAAAGTAGTTTATCATAAAACTTCATTACTTTCCAGCCATTTTCAACAGAAATTGAATAAAAAGGTACTCACTTCCGGCCACTGTCGAGGAACCTGTCGAACTCCACAGACATTTTGCAGCAAAGGGCCCGCCTGTTGTGAGAGGACGAACACTTGGTGTTGATCATATGGCCGTCTGCAAGCAAAGAAGAGGTGGTTTAAGGGTGGGCGTGCAATTAATTAAGAGGTTAATAATCATCCTCGTGGGTCGGCGTTACAGAGGCTTAATTAATTCGGCTCGGTAGCTGCCGCTCCTTCAGCAGCCACCGCCAATGTGTTCCGAACCGTGATCGTCCTGATATCGTGTACCTGTTTCGAGACTCCCACGATACTCACCCTGTGTCTCTGTTCGACAATGACAACATATTGTATTCAACAAGTGGATAACCTGGTCAGAGATATTTTAGATGTATGTTAGGATGAAGCACCTGAGCTTCATTACAGCTGTTTACATTAACTGGTACTAGGTGATTGAATTTTTATTCTTTATACAAGGTCTGTTATTAGAAGAAGAGGACTGAAAAGGAAAGAAACCATTTCCTCTTTCCAGTGTCCTGCAAAGCTACAAAGACAAACATATGACTACCTATGGCAAGACTGCTAGGACTCACTGGTAGACTGCTAGGACTCAGTGTAGATGGTTCCTAAGATAGATGCTAAAGAGTATGGACTTAGGCTAACCCAAGAGTATCAAGTCAAAATTACCAAAGAGTATACAGTCAAGATGACACAAGAGTATGAAGTCAAAATTAACAAAGAGTATGGAGTCAAAATTAACAAAGAGCATACAGTTAAAATTACCAAAGAGTATACAGTCAAGATTATTCAAGAGTATGAAGTCGAAATTACCAAAGAGTATGAAGTCAAAATTACCAAACAGTACACAGTGAAAATTACCAAAGAGTATACAGTCAAGATTATCAAATAGTATGAAGTCAAAATTACCAAAGAGTATACAGTCAAAATTACCAAAGAGTACACAGTCAAAATTACCAAACAGTATACAGTGAAAATTACCAAGGAGTATACAGTCAAGATTACCAAAGAGTATGAAGTCAAAATTACCAAAGAGTATACAGTCAAGATTACCAAAGAGTACACAGTCAAAATTACCAAACAGTACACAGTCAAAATTACCAAACAGTACACAATCAAGATTACCAAAGAGTATAAAGTCAAAATTGCCAAAGAGTATAAAGTCAAAATTGCCAAAGCGTATAAAGTGAAGATTACCAAAGAGCATTAAAAATAATCCAAGAGCACGATTTCCAAACTAGGAAAAGCCGTGGCAGGTTGAAAGGATGAAAGGGCGACAAGGGTAGATTATGCGAGGCAGGTAAGAACGATCGTGGCAGAGGTGCAAACCGGTGCAGAGCGCGTGTTGAGGTCAAATGTCGGACGGTGCCCGAGGGTTCGCGTGCTCATCCCTTCTCCTTCGACTTTCCGTAGTCGGCATCCTGCCGATCCACCCACACCACGGATAACATTCTACGTCACAACTGCTTGTTCACTGATTGCGACATTGCTCTCGAACTAATGCGCTGTACACTTGGACGCACTTAGGAACCTAAGACCTCGAAAAGGATGCAAGAACTCAAGAAGTTAGAACCCAAACTTAGAACCCTCTTTGTCTGACAATACCCTTCTCTGACAACCCCCTATTTGACTGACAACACCCTTCTTCATCTGACAACCCCCTATTTGTCCTACAACCCTCGTCAGGAAGATCTCATATGACTCCACATACCCCACATACTTCTCAATAAAATTTCTAATAAATATCAGCAATACTTAAATAATGCAAGTCAATTGAAAATCGTAGAACATTAGAAGAACGATCGGAGGTCTCGATTACACAGAGAATGTAAACCAGGCTTAAGAACGTTCGATTGAAACGTTACGTCTCGCTAGTGACTGGCGTTTAGAAGCGTCTTTGGAGGCCTGTCCGTAGATCCTTCGGATACGTCGGATCGCTAACAGAACTCGGTATTTTCACGCGTGGATATCGAGGATAATCGACGCGATCGATCAGGGAACATAGGAAGAACACCCTCGGAAACCGGTCGCCCCATCTGCCGTTGCTGGAATCTCGTCCAGCCTGCTCGGAACATTTTCTTTTCCCTTTGAGCGAGAAGGATCATCCGGTTGCGTCAGTTGTCACGCGATTATCCAACTCTGTGAACGGTTAGATACACTTTATAGACACTTCCAAATTCTGAAATTTCACAAGTTTTAAATTATAAGTACTAGTTTTCTAGGTAAGTTGTCAGTAATAATAAGTTAACTGTAACATAGTTAAGTGTAATACAGATGCTGGAGATAAGCTGTGGAACCGTCAGATGGTCGAGAGAAGAAAAATTTCGAAATAATCTCCGTTAGCGAAAGAAGCTGCTCCTACACGAACGCTTGTTTCGCTGGCAATTATCGCATAAACGAGGGCAGCCATTAAGCTCCGCCGTCATAATTATCCTTGCCTCGTATTACAACAGAAATAAACGCGTCTCTCTGTGACGCTAATTTCTTTTTTGTTCGTTCCCTTTTTAACGCGGTTATTTTCTTTCGACCTTCCAGCGTCCCCTATCGACATCCACCACCGAACGAATGATAAATGATACTTTTTATCGCAGAATATTAACGACTCGGCATCTAAGATCCGTTTTCCGAGGATTTCTCGTGAATGCTCTCGCGAGGATCGTAATGAACGACATTTCCAGCCTCGGGGCTTAATTACTTCCTCAATTAACGAACTTTACGACAGACGTGGCCATCTCCAGCGTTTCACCATCTCGTTACGTGGAAAAATCTGCAGATTCTTGCTTATTGTGCAAATGAACGCTTCTGTTATGTGCCGAATACGAATTCGGTTTAACCTATGATTTTTCCACGGTTTCGAAAGAGACATTGCAATGTTAAAACTTTCGCCGTTGCAGTATTAAAATAAATTAAACTTGTTAGACTTATTTTTAATTTAACTTTAATTGTACAGAGGGCAAAACTTAATTTTAGGGCTAACACGATTTTTGTTTGTAAGCACCCCATTATTTAATTTGAATTCTCCCGCATTATCTGATACGCTACTCTCGCGCATGCGCGGTAGCAAGATCACATAAGACTTTACAAAAGTAATAAAAATTTATAATTAATAAGACTGAAAAATAGGGAACTCACTGAATAATTAACATCGAATTTTGTGTCTTCTTCGCCCTTATAAATATTAATTGTACTCCAAAAAGTTACAGGAATAAACATTACACGTTAAATCGATTATGAAAGAAATATAAAGTGAAATACTCACTGGTTTGGTTCTGGAAGTAGGGATCGTCGCGGTCAGTGAAGAACCACGTCTGAAAGAAAAACAGAAGCAAGATTAAAATCCGCTGTCACAGCCAGTTAGATATTTGTTGCCGAGTCGATGGAGCGGACCTAATGATCGAAGTGTTGCTCACGTACTGGCGTGTCATTGTTCAGCCGAGAACAACGCGCACCGCGTACCGATCATAAATTTCGATTTCTTCCGTTCGATCGGACCGGATCGACTCCATCTACGTTCGACAAGATCGATAAGTACGAGCTCGGTCTTTTTCAGACCACCGAGTTTCACCTTTGTTTCGACAGAATGAAGCTGTACGCTTTTACTGATATTTAATGATACCTTTGATAAATACACAATTTTAAATACTAGACATTAAGATACAATTTTTTTGAGACACAATTTTAAACTGTATTGTTACAGTAAAGCATTGATATTGCTTTTTGTGAACCATAATAATAAATACAATAGTGGGTGCCTTAAGCTCCCATGTTTTTTTATAGCTCGACTAATTAGGCAATTTTAATCCTGTACACTTATTATTAATCCTTGATTACATTACTTTAATCCTTGTATACATATGCACTTCCTCTACCTTTGAATGTAATTTGTATGGAAATTTTCAACCCCTACAATCCCTAATAAAAGTTATTTCAGATGTGGGGAATCCTCCGAAAGGCACCTTAGAACTAAGTCTCGTTTCGTACTCTCGATCCGTGCAGTGCACGTGTTAGTCGCCTATTTTTAGTTCCCAAGTTCCCTTCAGGAAGTGAACGGCTGCAAGAACGTCGGAAAGAGGGGAAACAGTAGCGCACCAGACGTCACGAGCATTGTCTCGAGGATTTTCACGCGGTGCTCTTTCGAAGGAACGCGAGACGATTCCCAGACGCGTTTACCAAATTACGAAAATTCAACGAACCGGTGCCAGTCGAATATTTGCTTGTATCACAAAGGAAGAAACAATTCAACTAGTAGCAAATCACCCTTACAAAATAAAGAATGAAGATAAACTCTGGCAAAATGGAATCGAGACGGATGTCCGGTACAATTAAAACGACGAAGAAGGTAACACGTAAAAAAGAGAAAAAAATGAGCAAGCCCTCCGTCAGCGTTCGTGGAAGAACACGAATATCCGGCAAGAGAGGCTAGAAAGGAAAAGAGACGAGAGACGTGATGACGTCAGTGGCACCGGCGTCGCGTTACATCGACATAATTACGTTAATCCACGCACGTACCAAGTGGCTAAAAGGCACCATCTACGGGCTCCCTCGTTCGATCCTCCTTTTGGCCCTATTTCCACTTTTGTGAATGGCAACTTTGATATTACTCTGAATAGGGTGAAAACCTACTGAAAATTTTGTGGAGATAAATAGAAAATAACGAGGAATACTTATATTATGATCAGAAGTACTCATTCGTTGAGATGCACTCATTGTATGATTAGACACTCATTCTATGAGAAGTACTCACTGTGTGATCAGAAATACCCATCCTATTAGAAGTCCTCACTGTATGATCAGAAGTACTCATCCTATCAGAAGTACTCATTGTATGATTAGATGTATTCATCCTATCAGAAGTCCTCATCCTATGATCAGAAGTAGTCATCCTATGAAAAGCACTCATCCTATGATCAAACGTATTCATCCTATGAAAAGCACTCACCCTATGATCAAAAGTATTCATCCTATGAAAAGCACTCACCCTATGATCAAAAGTATTCATCCTATGAGAAGTACACATCCCTATGATCAGAAGTACTCATTCCTTGAAAAGCATTCATCCTATGATCAAAAGTACTCATCCTTTGAAAAGCATTCATCCTATGATCAAAAGTACTCATCCTTTAAAAAGCATTCATCCTATGACCAAAGTACTCATCCTATCAGAAGTACATATCCTATGAAATACTCCAGGTTCCAAAAAGCAACAATAAATATCAAAAATATCTGAAAAAGAAAATATATCAACATAAAATCCTTGCAGAATAAAAAAATGAAGATCATTTCCCAACGGATATCAAATTAATTTCAAGATCTGATTGCACAAAAATAAAACCGCACTTTCAGTCGGTAAAATTACGCCCAGCGAGTAATATCGGATAAATAAACGTTGTAATTGAGCAATCATCCGTGAACGATTCAGAAGCGAATACCTTTTCTAAATTGAAGGGTTGGAGCGAGTCACTGAAACTAATGACGAACTTCAATCGACCATCCTTTGCTGGAGACTTTTCCTTGAAATTGATTTTTAAAATCGTTGTCGAATCTGCAATCCTTTATAAATAAATTAAATATACGTTCATCAATTTTACAAATTTCAGAAATATACTAGTAAACGAACAAGATGGCCGCTAACAAATAAGATAGCCGTAAAAAACAAGATGGCCGCCAACAAATACGACGGCCGTAAACAAACAAGCTACGCCATCAAAGATTGATTAATTCTGTAAAAACTGAAAGTCTTTCTATTTCAGTTAACCTGTGCGAAAGTAGTAAATTATCTAGATCCACCATTTAGCGAAGAGACCGTGAAAACGAACGAAAGTTTGCCGACATTGAAAGAAGTCGATTTGCATTTTGAACGAGCCTTCTACCGTGTAAAACAATTCAGAGCTCCAGGCAATGATCCGTTTCCCTACCTGACCCTTCCCTCGCGGTAAATCATCTTTCGTAAATTGGATCGTGAATTCGAGGTACCGTGAAATGAAACAATTCGATGCTAATATTTCGAATGTCTGAAAATAAAGGATTGTACACGGAAGGGAATTGAAAAATGAACAGCGCAAATTTGGTAGACACCGAACACTAAGGAATACCACTGTAAGAGTTGCAAAAACAATAAAGAGCAGAGGGATCCTTTGTGCTCGAATCAAGTTAATCGCCGTTTGTTTCGCAAATTACACGCGATTAAAGCATCGAAATCGGCGTGGTATCACTGATCCGGCGATTAAACGATCGCTTCAGTTTCAAGGAAGATTGTGGGTGAATCGAATCGATTGAAGAGGGTACAGATCGATGAACCGTGAGCTTGTAGAAAAAATATTTCAAATGAAATTTACCGGTAAATCGTACGCGTCGTTTACTTTGGTTTTAATCTATAAGCCTCAACAGGCCTTGAAAAGTATCGTGCCTCGAGAAGATAAGTGCTCCGAAATTGCCTTCTGGGTCCAGAGTAATTCTTGCAAATACGCGATTCCCGAGAATCTGCGGGTTTGACCCTGCAACTATCCAGTTCCAGGAAGTGTCGCCGAACCGGGAGAGAAAGTACAATGCATGTAATTAGTCCTGGAGATAATATCGCGAAAGTTGTGCTACTCGTTCTGAACCGAGGATACACCTTCGGGAATCAGCCTACACAGAACTACGTTCTCTACAACGGACACGCAGTGAACCGACTGATAAAATTCGTTTGTTCCGAGAACGAATCCTGTGTACAAACAATGCAATCGTGCACAGTGTTCGTCACAAGTGTGGACGGTAATAACGAACGAGGAGCACAGAAGAAACGGTAAAACGGAAATACAGAGAATCTCGTTCCCACGAGAACGTCAAGCTCGTATATGCTCCATCGAACGGTAACAAATCGCACACAGGATTGTTCCCGATGACAGAATTCCAAGAATTATTACCTTTGTGATATTTCCACTAGCATTTAACTAACTAGGGTTTTCCTAGATCGTTCCTGAAATCCTTCAAAGTCCTTCTAATATTTCGCAATGGTTTTTACTAATCTTCTAAAGTACTACGTTTTTCCTAATTCTCTTACTGTCTGTCAAAGCTTCTAGAACATTCGATGGAATGTTCGATTTTTCCATAGTCATACACGATCGGTTTAAAATGTCAATTACAATTACCCTCTAAATTACGCTTAATGATTAAGAACTTACCTGATCTTTGGCGAATTGAAACCACGTGCCGATGATCGCTGGCAGACGAGAATGATGATAATGTTTTGTAGTCTTTACGCTGATGAACACGTCGTCGAGATTGGTGGTGAACGGTGCCATCGTCGCCGTGGCGATCGCAGGTGTCACCGATGATTCCTCGCTGATTATTCTCCTCGGGGCTGGCACTTCCACGAGCACATTTCGACTGTTCACTTCGACCGTCATTTCGTCAACCCACTAAAAACGACGCGACACTTTATAAACATCGCACGCGGCAATTCGATCGACGACGGTTCGCGGAAAAGGCGCGAGCACGTGCACGTTAGTGCGGAACGTTTATCCTCGTTCCTTGCATCGAAATGAAAGCAAACTAGTCGCGATATTACACCCGATACACGTTCGATTAACATAACTGGCTGCCGGTTCGCGGTTTGTTACAATTATTTTGCGCGGGATCTTGCACTGACAACTAGTACGCGGAACCGCCAAAATTGAGCGTCACCTACTACGTGAATCAATTGACGATATAAATTTTGCAAAACGATATATCGATTCGATCGATCGTTATGACGTCATGCCGTTCGAGTACGTAACCGTCAAAATTTTTCGATTTAACATTTAATGTTGAGATACGCTATGATAAAAAATTGCTAGGACTCACCTGACGCGGTGCAACGGCCTGATAAAGGAGAATTGTGGCGTAAGCGGTGGCGAGAACAAGTGCCAACGCCTGAAGGCCTCGTCTAGTCGGCAGGCCACGGGGCATTTTAGCACTACCGGTGCTGGTGTATCCCGCGCCAATCACCGACAAACGAGACCGTCCTTCTTCTTCGTGATTTTCACGCTTTTCTCGTGCATCGACGATCAACGGCAACCACCCCACATCGTTCTCCTCCTTTTGCCTCGTAAAAAATACGCCAGTCATAACATACGACACTGATCACTGTTCCTTTTCGCTCCCAGTACCCTTTCGACTCATCGAAAAGAGACGCGATCGTTTGTTTTCGATATTTCTTTAAATCGAATCTTCTCGCGCTAAACAATCGCAACTGCGCATGTCAACGAATCGCGCGAACTGTCCTCGATTCGTAATGTATGATCACGAGTCAAATTTGTCCTTCGCGTGTACGTTGTCACTTTGTAAATTAATCGCGAACAATGCGCACGGAATTTTTGCGCGCGATATTTCGTACCAAGTTTCCAAACACACTGCCAATATCATTGTTTCGATTCTCTGTTCGATCAACGTTTCGATCGGTGCGATCACAGTGTTTGGACCGTAGTCCGTGAACGAATAAATTTGCGTTCCGAATTTCTGTTTGAATCTTCAACGATTTAAACGATCGTATTCCGTATCGTTTAATTAGAAGAACCGCTAGTTGCAAATACAGGATGTCGGGCAACCTGCAGCAGCACGACACCAAATGTTTAATTTGACAGTCAAGTGGTTTCTGTACACGAGAACGCTTTCGTAAAACGAAGGTACACGAAGAACTGCGAGGCAACACACGCACGAGAGAACCCCCTGTTATCCGGCGCGCGACAAACCACCGACTGAACACATGGCCAGTCGCCCTGACTACGCTGTAAACATCGCCATAGTAGCCACTTCGCTGGCCGGCGGTAGTGGGGAGTGGAGCCGACGAGTGACGAGTGGCGAGTGGCACGATGACGGGAACGGGAACTGAGAACCATCGAGTAGAAAGGGATAACGACTATTTAAATGGAGCATTGCCCCTTTCCTATATTGCCAACAATTAGCATTTCACCAAATTTCTATTTCATTATCGAACGAATCAATCGGTATGTAACACACTATTTTATCGATATTATGTTTAATAAAATATGTACATTATTTTGTAAATATTTTGGACGGTTAAAGATTGTTGAAGGTGAAATATTAATTTACAATGTAATGTAAATATCTATGTTCATGAATTTTTATTTATGTATTTTATATATATATTGCACTATAGCATTTATCAAAAATAGATAGTCTTACTTTGTACTAATAAATTCATTTTACAGAAATTGGAACAAGCATTGTAGGTTAAGAAAATTACTTCAAGACATTTTTCTTATTTTTGTATTACAATATTTAATTATTAAGATCATTAATATTTACATTTGTACATGATCGAATGCACTTCACTGTATAAGAAAAATTAAAACGGACAATCGTAAGTACTTATCATGCGCGTAAATTCGAGCTATGCTTATATTTTATAAAGTCGGGGGAATCGTCCATTTCAATTTTAAACACAATTGTCTTTTCACTCTTCGACGATCGATCTTTCGTGTCATTGAATTTAAAAATTCCTTCTTTGTTTTCTCTTTCTACTGATGAAACCAACATCCCTAATCTCGATAGAAAATATGTACCTTTCTATCTCGATGATTCGTTAAAATTCTCAAATAAATATGTTTGACATTATCATCGCGATAGCTGCCACTTTACACTTTGCAATATCCAATTATGTGTGCGTTCATCGCACAACATTCATGTTGCCCTCCGTCGCAGAAGAACTATACTATTGTATAATTTAATAGCAGGGCCAAGACGTAATCCCAATAACGACACCAAGTCCTCTTGAGTTAACATTAAAAATGCCTCTCCATCAATATTCTAAAAGCAAAAGAACCGATTAGCGACAAAATTTACATAATTATATTTGTCAAATACTTTCGTCGACTTTATCATAATATACGTACATGTTTCCTGAAAATATTTCCAATTTCTTTACAATTGGGCACGCTCTGTATAAACTTAATAACTTCCTCGTTCGACCACCTTCGGGGATTCGTATTTTGCTTCGCTACTACCCTGTTTAAAGCGTTGCTATGTTTTGCCCATATGTGTGGTGCATCCGGTAATGGATTATATCCAGGATTATACACCGATTGGTACAATTCTGTACGCAGCTGCTTATCGGGCATATTTGCGGCATAAGGTATCGAAGTTAATGGCGAGTCGCTATAAGTATTTGATAGAGAGTATAAATTCTCTTCGGATATCTGTCGTCTATAGAAATATTACCAAAATCAATAATGACAAAGCTAACGTTTATAAATAGAAGTCACGAATAAAGTGAACAGTTGACAAACCTTTTCTTTCTCTTCCTCAAAAGTTCATCGTCGTCTGTTTGTCCATCGCTGTGATGGTGTTTCGATCTACTTAACCTGTGAATTAGAAATTGTTAATTTTCATCTACATTGGAAAAGCGTACGAATACAAAATATTTATGCGACGTACTTTTCTAGATTTTCAGGCCTGTCATGTTTATCGAAGAAATCACCATCCTCTTGCTTAATATCTTTCTCAGTCTTCGTTAAGCGTTCGTCCGAAAAGAATGATTTCTCGAGTTTCTCGAATTTCTCAGACTTTTCCATTTTTATTTTATCAGTCTTTTCTGTTTTTGGTTTATCTTGTACATCGTCCTCAAAATCACACGTTTCATGTTTTAAATTGAGCCTATCTGACAACTGCCTAACTTTATGAAGATTTTGAGGTGAATATGGACAACCAGACGCAGAATTGTGCGTAGCATACTTAGGTCCTTTTACGTGCCCTATTCCCCTGCAACCATAGGTTCCACACTCTGGCCTGTCATTCAAGTTATCCGGTGCTGTAACATCAAATAATATAATATAAAAATATAATTTACACACGAACAAAAATATCAAACTCCGAAGCTAATTAATCTTACTCAATGGTGGTTCCAAGGGATGACCAGTTTTCAAACACCAGCCCATAGGATGTATATCCGGAGAATCGTCGTCGACCCAGTAAGCGTGATTTTCTGGCCACCCATCAAATCGTATTTTTAACCTGCGACGTAAAAATATACCTAATGTATCTGCACCAAACAAAAATCATACGTACACAAAACATATACGCACATGTGATCTTTTACATCTTCAACCGTTGCTACCCTTATTAATTGAGGTACGCGTTTATCGACTGCTTCGAGTTTCATTCCACGCTTGAATCCACAAGGCGGCCGTTGTTTAAAAGCTCTAGCTGGGGCAACCATAGAATGAGTTTCTCTAAGATATGCATCCCATGTGAAAGATTTTGGGTCTTTATAATCTGAAACAACGAAATTATTTTTAGAATATGAGTCATTTTTTAAAGAGAGTTGAAAATTCAATTAAGAATATTTTGTCTTACTGTTTGGTGGTGTGAGACTGTGACCATTGTGATGACACCATCCTACAGGATGAATGTACGGAGAACTTGCATCGGCCCAATAATCGTACACTTCGTCCCAAGAATCGAAATGTACCAATATGCGAGAATCCATTAGGCCTGCTATACTAGCTACACAAACCAGCGAAGAATGTTTTCTATCTACCGCTTCCAATTTCATTCCTACGCGGAAACCAGTTGGAAAGACCGACTGAAAGAAGCAAATATATATCTATTACCATCAAAATCATTAACATAATTAAATATAATACTCACACTTTTATTTGAAAATATATTTTTCGGTGCTGCGGTAGCCTTGCAAATTTTAAGATACGCGTTCCAATTAAAATTACTAGCTACATAACCCTTCGGTGGGTCTAATCGATGTCCATTTTTCTCTGACCATCCAGCAGGAAAGATATCCATACTGTCTGCATTTACCCAGAAATCATAATTTTCTGGGTATCCATCGAAATGCAAACGTATTCTGTAACCTATTGCAAATATCAGTATAAAATATGCTGCGTACACAGTTACTCGAATGCCAACCAGTAATGTTCTACTACTTACCTACTACTTCAACGACTGTAAGAACACAATAACGTGACGGATGTTCGGGATCTATTCCTTCTAGTCTCATGCCAACTTTGAAATGGTTTTTAGTGTATGGAAAAGGATCCTTGAACAGCTTAACAGGCGCCGCTTTTGCTTTACAGTGCTCCAAATATTTAGACCATGAAAATCCAAGTTTTCCTGTCTGCCAAGGATACTACATACAGAGACACACTTATAAGCAGTATGTTTCAATGCATTCAGAAACATGATTCGGTTGTACATACCTTAGATTCGGCGGAATCTCCTTGGCTCTCATCGTCCATAGCTGTAATAGTATCTTTCGTATCTTCATCCGTTTCTGATTTTATTTTATCTTGTACTTTTTCCTCCAACTTTTCGTCCGTTTCTTTAGACTGTTGTTGTTCCTGCAATAACTTTTTACGTTTCCGTTTCGCACGTAAATCTCTGCAAAAACGTGTACATATAAATATATATATCTGATGTCTATCAATTCTTATAGAAATTGACCGAACAACATACTTTAAATCTTTCTCTTTTCGTATTGCAGGTTGTTTCTTAGCTTCTATTATTTCTGTACACGATGGACTACACGATATTGGACTTTCAAATTCTGCTGCTAAACCATAGCACCCACAACCTTCACAATGATACATTGTGTCAGCCGAAATAGTCCTAGATTTCCTATCATCGGCTGAAAATAAAAATAATTTAGAAATATATGTATAAAATGTTCTGAGAAAAATAACTATTTGTTACTCACGTTTCTTCTCGGCATTAATATTATTCACAGTTGGGGGACTGGATTTTGAAGAATTTTGAGTCGAACAAACGTTTTCTTTATCACCAATACTATCTTTACTTTGTTTGTTGGTTTCATCCTCATCTACTACTTCCATAATACCGAATTCGTTCATACAAAACTATAACAGATGCGTGTTATTTCAAAGTATCAACTAATTTATAACTTTTTAATATACCTCACCATACCTTTAAAGTACTTCCAGGAAGTGTACCGACACCATCTTTCCAATCTAATACTTTTGTAGCATCGAAATTTGAATCATTTGTATGCGTTGTATTTAAATGATCCTTTAAATCTTCGTGATTATTAATTTTAGAGTCTGTTTTATTGTCTGAAATTGACTCAACACCACAATTTGTGCGTGTTTTAATAATTTCTATTTTTATATCATCATCCATATTTGTGTTAGGAAGTTTTATACTTTTATCTTCACTAGGAACTACTTTAATCAATGTAATATCATCATCATTTTGAACTTTTTTGTCCTTGTCTTGCTCTGATTCTGGACTACTTAGAGCATAACTTACATCAACCATACTTTCCTGAGGGGACTTTGAAAGATTTTGTTTTTTCAGTCTCTTTTCGGTGGATCCTCTTAATATATTACTTATGGTCTTTTTTCTTTTCTCAGGCATATTAATGTCATCCTTTTTTGGAATAGGAGTAATGACAGCTGAATCTGGATTTTCTGTAATTTTTATACTGTCTGTGGAATTATTATTTCCTTTATTTGCATTTAATAAACTCATTTTTGCAATAGGATGTAAAGGCGGTGGATGTGTGGCTGAATTTGTTGTTTTGGACTCCCGTAAAACTGTAATATAAGAGAGAAAGCTATAGTTTATTTGTATTTAAAAAGAATATAACACGAAACATATTTTCAATTATGTACCTGTAATAGTTCCTTTGTTATCGCTGTTAATTTGGCCATTATTAATTTTTAAATTAAACATGCTAGATTTAGTAGGTCCACTTTGTTGAGGAATACTGACAGGTAATAATAAATTTGCCATGTGTTTAGGAGGTTGACTTTGAGATCCTGCGGTTGTATTTGTTGATGTCTGAGCTAATTGAGATATAACTGGTGCAATTACCAATTTTGGTTTAGCTATTTGAGTCGTTGTTAGAGCACCTAATATCACACATTAATAAGTAAATTTAAAATTATCCCATTAACAAGTATTTTCTGCTACTTATACATTTATCGATAAGAATATTAATTACCTGCTGGAATAACAACAGATTCACGTGACTTGTTGGGTTTGATGAGCGTTCCAAGATATGCAAACGTATGCTTGCCAGCTTGGGTATTACTTTGATTTCCCTGAGAAGTACTTAAGGGCACAATCTGAGCAGTAGACGTATTAGACTTTCTGAGCAGAATATGTTTCTGGCCTTGCGAAGTTGTTGTAGTACTAACAGTATTAATTGGCCGATGAATTACAATATGTTGTTTGCTTTGGGAAGTAGTAACCTGACTTGGCCCTTGTATAAATACTTTATTTTGCCCAGTGACAATCTAAAACAAAAACAAAACAAGTAGTCCATTAATGATCCGAAAGCAATTTACATATTCCAAACAAACTACTTTACAAGTTTTGACAAGGTTTATCAACAGAAAGGAATTGTGTAAATTAGTGCAATTTAATGTAACTTCTTACCTTAAAAAGCACTTAAGATATTTTGGATTAAATATGTTAAAAATATTGAATAATTCAAAAAGTTAATGTTTAATGTAATCTGTTGTATTGCACTTGTACTTCACTGTAGCAAATATGTTACTACAAATCTATATTTACTGTAAAGTGGCTCATCATTCAATGCTACCACCTACATATGAAATGTAATAAGATTCACATTTATACATGTACATCTTATATTAGTTTATACATGACACTTTTAAAATATACTTAATAATACATCATTAAAAGTTCTTAATTATTTTTGTTTTAATAGAATTGTAGGTTACTATGACCTAAATACGTATAACTAAGTGGTTTATTATGCCACATAGTGTAATATATTAATCTACTTATATAATAGTTAAATGATAGATATTAATATTCATAAAAAAACTTAATGTAAATTTTTTATTGTCACACTGAATATGACATAAGCATAAAATAAATCCCTTCAAAATATTGAAATATGAAGTTTATCAAATTACCTGATTATTGACTGGATTAATAATAGCAGCAAGTTGTGTTGCATTGGACGAAACCATGGCTTGATTTGTTGTTGTCGGTGGTGCAGAACGCAATTTATTTTGTTGAATATATAATAAAGGCATAACGGATGTTGTTGGATCATCTGACTGTAGTGTCTCCGAGTTACTATTTTCATCTATATCATCTACTACAATTTCTTCTTCCATTCTATAGAAACAATATAACACAATGTATTTTACAGATATACAGAATAAATTTTTATTATAATTATCTAACTGAATCATTTGATGAGATTAAAATGTTTGAAATTTCTATAAATTTTTACATGTTCAAACTATACTTCATTGTTATAAACAAACACGTGGTTAAAATGTTAAAATGCAACAGTAAAGATATCATCAGATTTCATTTGCATGTAGAAAGAGTAGATCTGTAAGATTATCATGAAAAGCTTATTTATTTAACGAAAATATTGAACACGAACTAACAAGGAGAAATGCATACAATAAACTAAAAGAACAAATGTATCAGAAAAAACAAATCGTAATTTTACAAACCTAACAGTATATAATGTCTTCTATCACGGAATAGAATTGTTACCAGTTACATAATTCGTGAATAATCATAAACTTTTATAAGCTCTGCGGATAAGGTTCAGTGAACTAAATTTTAATATAATTTGCAAACTTTAATAACTAATGCCGATGTATCGCAGATAGGCATAACTGGGCGTCAGGCAAATCTCTAACACAATTTGAAAGGCGCGCCGAACTATTATATCTGAGTAGAGTTATGTTATTATTTTTCACGCTTTCAACTAGATTGGTGTAGCAAGAATTTATTCCACGCATTCTATAGAACGCTAAAAATTGTTCAAACAAGCAGTTTCAACTGTTACAACGCGAACACGTTCGTTCAAATACTTTTACAAATCGTTCGTCGCGCATCACGAATCACTCGAAGAACACAACGCGCACGCACTTTTCGCTGGAATAAGAGGCTACATGAAACTATGAGAAACTGATCTTTTCCATGAAGATTACTAACGCGATGCAAATAATTAATACACTGGGACGTGAAAAATAAGCCAAATGCAAATTTTACACGTTTTTAAACGATTATTTTCACATATCTTTTAAGCGTTCGAGCCTTCGTTCTCTGTACGCTACAGCTACGTCCTTATAGGCTCCAACGGTAGTAGCGACGGCGCAACAGGCCGCTAGCTATTGGTTAATCGTTGTTATACCGAAGAATAAGTTCACCGTTTCGACCAATCGAAACGTTCTCGATATATTACTAACCGCATCCGAAGTACAGATTTTTCCTGAGTACGAGTCATTTTGAAATCATTCAAGGATCGTCGTCGATCGATCGATAAGTATATTCGACGCATTAAAGCTGTTTTATGTAATCTGATGTTCCAACAAAATATCCGCGTTATAGCAATACCTCGATCAATCTCCCGCGCAAAATACCAACAAGGAAAGAACGTCCAACTTTCGTCCTGCTGATCAATGTGTGTTCAGTCAATATTTTTTAAAAAGACAAATCACGAATTTATCGATGTTTCAAGAAATGTTTTCAGTTAACTCTTAATAATTCAGATGCAGTGTTGGATTAATGATTTTTTCAAAATATGACGCGGAGAACGTTTCTGATTCACATTGATTTCAGCCACAGTTGCATATTAATTTTATTATTCCATTTTTTAAGCTTTGCGTTGAACCAATGGTAGCTGGTATTCCCGTGACGTCGTAATATTATCGTAGTTCGATTGGTTAAACGAATAGTACGTGTTCGTAGTAAAAAGATTCTGTCTTTAAAACTGCAATTTTAACGAATTAAACAAAATTAATAAATTTGACATTTAACATTTCCCATTATATTATATGCAGTAATATTGTTTCTTATCATTTGTAGAAAATGCTAATTAAAGTATTCTTTCGTCATAACAAATAAATGCCCAGGTTTCGATTTCGATATACTTCTACATTAACCTCTAAAATATAAACGCGAACGTTTATAATGCTCGATATATTGTCGCATCATATTAATAAAATTGCAATTAACTCAGATTATTATTACAATGTATAAATTGTATATATTTCGTTTGAAAAGTATATGAATTACAAATAAACAGTTGTCACTTCATAATTTATGAAAAGTGTTACTAATTCATAAATTTAACGTAGATTAATGATAACGATAACAATACGTTATGTTTGCAGTTCACAAATTCTTTTAAATTTATGGAAACATTATAAATTGAATAATCCTGAAAACAACTTTTCAATCGTTAATTGTTTTTATAACACGAAGATTGCGAATACTTTCGTTATTTTGCAAATAATTGCAAATTACATTTTTATTTAATATTTAATCTGTACGATATCGAGGTTATTTAAAAGCTTTTAAATATAATAAAAAAAAAATTTTCTTCTTCTAAATTTAACCATATAAATTAATCGTTATGAATATGTAGACGTAATTATTATCAAAGCACCAAAGTCACGATTGTTTGAAGTATTTCTATATAAATGGAGGTAAATTAAAAACGGGATATAAACAAATATTATCATGGAAATTGAACTATTATCTATTAAAAAGTTTGCACATACATTCATTCATAAATACTTTAAAACTTTTTTCAAGTATACCAATGCGAGAAGTTATGGGAAGCTTTATAGGTATACTTACTAGGATAAGTGAATGTTGGTCTAACGAATTATGAGCGGTAATTTTAAGGATATATTCTATTGAACAACAACCGTGAAAAAAAATTAGCCGATTAATAAGGATCTGAATATTTACTGATGTCGCTATTATATTTTACACGCAAACAGCACAATGTAAACATAAGAAATTATATGATAATAAACTCACGTTTTAAAGTTGTCAGTCGCCATCATATGCGAGGAGACGGTATCATTCTAAATGCGCATGCGCATCGACCTATGTTGCTTCTGCTGTAAAGACACATTCACATTTGTACATTTGGAATAGAATAAGATAAAAATGCTAAGTACTCGAAAAATGCATGTTTGATAGCATGTAATAAAATTTTATAACATTTTTCCATCTTTTGCTCACAAAATTAAATGTTTTTTCTACTTACAGCTCGTATAAATAAAATTTCAATTATATTTGATTTATGTTTGTAACTATATGTATAAATCTGGGAATGATTATGATTATAATTTTTTTATTTTTGCATGTAAAACGTCGCACGATTACAACATTATTTTATTTTCATTTTGAAAGGTAGTATTATAAATTTTCAATATAAATTATGTATGCGTTGCTAATTTAAAATTTAATCTCACATATCAAGAATTAAATGTTACGCTCTTCGGTATCGATCGAAATAAAAAATAGAGATAGCATAACAAATTTAATGCAGGTGACGAACACATTGAAACTCGTATTTTGTGTTTAACTCGTGTAAAGATAAAATCTTAATACTTTTAACAGTAAAATTTCATAATATTCGTATGTTATACGTTCGTTAAATTTTGTATGACTAATTTGTTGCTATCTTTGTAGTTGTATCTTTAATACGTATTATAAATATATATAAATTATATAAACAATTACAAATGTAAAAGCAGTTTTTAAATCGTTTTATTCAGCTTACATGACATACGTATTAGCAAAATTATATGTACTTATAAGTATATGCACATATTTACTTTTATATTTGAGAGACATATGTCAAAGCATATGTAACGCTTGCGCTCGATGTTGTACGCTTCGAAGAGGCCGATTAACACACATACACGTTTCGAAGAAACAGGTAAAAAGCCACAGAAAAGTCCATTGAAATTTAGATAAAATTTCTCAAATATAACGTGCAAGGGAAGAGTGGTAGCAAGTGATTCGATTTTTTCTCATAAAACCTGTTCATGTGCCGTTTAATTCGCCACAGAACAATTGCACTCATACAATGGCGTAGAGACAGTTCGTGTTTTGTGCTATCAGCTGATGGACTTGATGGACCTTACTCTTATCAAAACAGAAGACGTTGTAACAGTAATTTCAGCTGTCGTCGCAAAATGTCATCTTGCAATGCGTGATACTGTGCTCATCATAATAAACTAATTTGAGCTGAGAAGAAATTTTTTTTTCGATTTAGCATCGACTCCATTATTCATTGTCACTGAATATAGTGTTTTCATCTGGTAAGGGAAAGTTTTGACGAAATCGTTGCAAAAATTTCGCGTATTTGTTTCAAGTTTCTAATATCTATGTATACTTTGTAAACTTGATTGATCTATTATGTATTACACAATAGAGATGCTCATCTATCGTAATAATTAAATATATACTTTATTCAATTTGTATTTGTGAGACGCATTTTGACGTAATCCTAACACGTTATATTTTGAGGCGTAATATTAACGATTTATAATAAAATCCAGTATAATACGACGGAATTATTCGATATTTACTACATCGTGATTCTTAACACATGAAAAATATCGTTATAAATTCTTAATTGCAACATTGTTGATATTTGTATAAACTTTGATATTTAAAGTTGCATAGTTTGATATGGTAAGTTATTTTTAATGTTGAGCTCTTGAAAGTTATGATTGCTATATCTGTACAAACTTGTCATATTTTTGAGACAATCAGTAAACAAAGATTAATACACGAGTGAAAATAGGTAGGGTTTATATAATGATATCAATGAATAAATAGAAATCTTTGTTTTGCTTATCGAAGTATAATAGATCCTTATTTGTTTAATATTTGTAAAACAGGTTATTAAATTATAATATCTGCAAATATGAAAAACGAATATGTAATTAATGGCATATAAATTTTGTTACAGAAGAATTTATAACTCTTCAAGATGGGGACAACTGTAAGTAGTGGACAAAATAATGATGAATTAGTCGATGATTTAATGAAATCTGGATGTATAAGATCAGAAAAGATAGAGAAAGTATTTAGAGCAGTGGATAGAGCAGATTATGTTCTGCCATTACATAGAGAAGTTGCTTATAAAGATATTGCTTGGAAACATGGAAACATTCATTTATCAGCACCATGTATATATAGCAAGGTGATGGAAGCTCTTTCTTTGGAACCGGGATTGAGCTTTCTAAACCTTGGGTCAGGAACTGGTTATCTCAGTACTATGGCAGGACTCATATTGAGTAAGAACACTACTGATTTATTCGATCAATATAGAATATTGGTGATATCTTTGTGCCTTCCTTAGACCAACATGGAACAAACCATGGCATTGAGTTACACGAAGATTGTTTAAAATATGCATACGAACGTCTCGAAGAATTTAAACAGAAGTCATTAGCTTTGGATGAATTTGACTTTTGCGAGCCACTTTTTATACAAGGTGATACATAAAGAATTTATTTACAACTACATGTGACTTCTGTGTATGCAGAAAACAGTCATGTAACTGTGCATTTAACAGGGAATTGTCTCAATGTTGCACCTGGTAGACAATACGATAGAGTATATTGTGGTGCAGCATGTCCAGAAAGTCATGAAGGTTTTATTAAACAATTCGTGCGCGTCGGAGGGATTCTCGTAATGCCTTTTAAAGATCACCTGCTTCGTATACACAGAATAGATGAGGATAAGTGGTTGCATTTCACTATGTTTTCTGTATCATTTTCAACATTGGTTGTGCCTAGTGCTTCAGAACAAACTTTATTTCACTTACGTATGTATATTTGTGATTATTTCAAAATACAAGTAGCATTTCACAATACGTTTTAATAATATTAACAATTTATTAATGTTCTGTAGCCGAATGTAATCCCTTGTCTTTACAAGAATTATGTAGAGGTAAAATCAGACATCGACTACGTCAAAACGTTTGGAACGAACACGCAGATCTGGAATCTATAAAGCTCATAGTACCGGAACGTCGAAAACTTAGCCCTCTACCAGGACTAACGCAGCGATCTTTAAGCAGATTCGTTATTCCTATTTTCGAGGAATCCGATGAAATCGTTTTCGAAGGGAGCGAACAGTTCAGTAGAGCGGTAAGTTTCTTGCTCAGCATGAACGCTCAAAATTCCGCCTCTCAGGTGACAGTCGTGCAGTTTAATCAAAATGACAATCAGAATTGGAAAAAGGACAGCAGCAACGGTAGCACTGGTCAGTATAATCGAATCATAGAAAATTAAGAAAACAGAAATACGTTAATGAAAGATTTTTTTTTAACGCAGAAGCATCAAACAATGCAGACGGTATTTCAACTTCGACCGATGAACAAACACAAGAAAATGAAATGCACAGGCAGCATCTGAACAATCTTAATGAAAATATTACAACCGCTACATATTTGAACATAAACGACATCGACAGCGATAGCGTATCTGTTGAGTCAGAGTCGTGTATCGAATTTGAGAGCGATGTGGAACCGCAGTGTTTTCTCATGCAGCATAAGGAGGTGGCAAAACGAGAGAAAACTGACAGCGGAATAGTAGAAGACGTAAATTTAAGTAACGAGGATGGCAGTTCAAGTTCAAACACGAATCACTCAGACTTGGAAACGGTAGATCCATCTGAGGCCGCGGATGCGATGGATTCAGATCTTTCCGATATCACGATCAATAGTAATTTTAATCCCCATTCAGCCTCTAGTGATATTAACCCTAATGAAGAAGTTATCGTCGCCCATTACGTAAACAACAATGCCTTTTCTACTTATATGAGGGAAAAGATACATCAGTTACCATTGCCTTTCGCATTAAAATTGTATATAGCTTACAATCGAGAACTGTAAGATAAGTTAATTACATAAACAAATTACGTTATTCTAATTTAATTAAATAAATAAAAAAAGTATATATATATAACATTTTATCATGCAATAAGTTACATAGAACAATTGTTGCGTTATTGCTTCTATCCTGAAACCGTTAAGGATCCTTCAAGTAAACATGTATAAGTTTATATCATCTTTTATTATTTCGTTTATCGTTTAGATTCCTATCAAACTTAATATCATTTTACACATCCGTATCTTTTCCCAGAGTTCCATTAACAAAATGATTATCTACAAGATCCTCATACAATCCCACAGTGGCTATCTACGATTTTTATCCGGAGTGGAATTCCCTAATTTTACTAACAGTACATTTTAAATTATACATAACAAGGCTTTTGGAAAATTGGGAACCACGGGGTTGAAAAAGTGGATACTCTTGTATTATTTTTCTGTGCCCTATATTTTGGGGTTGAGGACACCCCAGTTTCTCTCTAGATGGCCTTTAAACTCCATGCATGATCCGATCAGAAGTGTAAACACGTAGTTCTAACAAGGGTTGCCAGTATCCTGCGGTACCTCCACTGCCCTTCTCTCGCCTCGATCAGGCATCTAGGAAACAGGAGGAGTGCACTGAGGGTGCGCGTAGAGAAATCAGTTGTGCAAAGGAGGCTAACGCCCAGCTGCCCGGCAGATCGCGGGTTTGTACGTACGCGATAACATTTCGACAATCTTCATCCAATTGTTAAGCGCCTTAGAGTATAAGATAAGATCGATTCTCGGACTTGTTCTTACCCCTTGCGTGTTAATTTCTATCGCGTTTAACACGTTACAGTAGGCCATAAATCGTATTTCCGAAAAGGGCACATCATCTGTGGGTTATAATTACCTTACACAATGAGACGACGAAAGCTCTTATTCTTCCGCTAAATAATTGTTATATATAACACTGAAAAATTAATACAAATGTCCGTAACAAGAACAGTGAATGTCCACTGGAAAAAATAGTATGAAACATTTTTGTGTGTTGTGTTTATAAAATAGGCGCCCAATTGAGCGTATTAACTCTCATCTTTGTATGCTGTGCTTTATATATATAGACGTATTAACACGCACGATATCATGACTTTATACACCTGTAGATGCACGGGTGTCCATGCAGTTTCGTTCTCAGAATGTTGTTTCCATGTGAAAATGAAGTGTAATCCTATTTTGATGAAACATACGAAAGGACAAGTGCACTCTGAGCGCGGTGAAGAGGGGCATTGAATCTTCAAATTGGGACATAGAGGTTGATTCAAAACAGCATCTGTATACATCATTGTTTTCATTGATTCCATAGTTAATTATAAAACATTCTTTTATTTTACAGTACATCTTGAATTAACGACACAAACAGGTAAACAACTTTAATAACTAAATTAAGAAACGCTAATTCACACGTTAAGTCTCGGAAAATTCTCTGTTTAGAAAAATGAAACTCATCTACTACCTGTACTGTCTGAGCTTAATCGGAGTGTCCACGACGAACGAGGTGTCGTGCGGAGATCGTCTTACAGCCCCAAGAGGAGTAATCCAAACCCCAAATTTCCCCAAGTCGTTCCCGGTTCCTATCAAATGTCGTTGGGTAATCGATGTGTCCGAAATTCCAACCACCAACAGTTCCATCGTCGTGTACCTGACGCAGGTCTACGTGTACAAAGGACTCAGTTTCACCGAGTACGCTTATTACGAATCGGAGACTACGAACTACGGCGCCACGTTGATCAAGGAGATCACCGAAGGCAACGTGTTCGAATACAGGTGGTTCAGAACGTTCAGTCCGTTTCTCGTCGTGGAATTCGAGCTTGATCGGTTGGAGGGTAATCACGTACGCGTCCTGAACGATCTGCTGGATGTGTACGGGTTCAATGTCACGTATCAGATGACCGAGGACGTGCCCAATCCTAATTCTTGTTCTGTTCAACGGTGCTCTTACACGGGCGACTGCCTCATGTCCATGGATTACACGTGAGTCCCCGTTTCACGTACCTGAAAGCTTTGGTCAAAGTAGAAAGGTCGTGTATCATCCACATTGGATACGAGTTTGTATAAAGGGATCCACCCTTGTATCTTTCTGTATTAATTTAATAGAGCAACTAACTTAAATATATGACTAACTTTATCAATTAGGAATTTTACTAAATTAGAAGTCGTTTCCTATCTCATTCTATATTTAGAATTTGAACAGTAAATCCCCCGCAAAATTTCCACACTGAAAGATAAAAGAGCAAGTTGTAGAGAGGTTTGTAGGACATAGATACCGTATCAAGTTTTCTGAAACATTAATGAATTGTCCCTCATTTTGTCCTTCTCTGAAAACCTTTCCACGTTTCGTCAAATAACGAAATTTTCCATCGCTTTTCGCAGGAATTTTTGGTGCAACTGTTTCAACGGCTTCTCTGGAAGGGATTGTAACATAGGACCTCTCTGTTTCGACGGTGAGAACCCGGTCTGTCAAAACGGAGGCACGTGCAGGTACATCTTGCAAGATCATTTAAAAAATTTTAGTTTTGCAAAATGAGACCAAGTTTTTATTTAATAAAATTGCTTGTAATTAATAGTAAAAATGTAATCGTATAAAAGCCAGAATAGGTTTGGCCTCAATGGAAGTTTTACCAATAACTGATACAGAAACTTATAATCAACAACAGGGTTTCACAGAGTTTTCGTAAAAAGAGATAGTCGTTAGGGTAATAAAGTTTGTAAGACCCTCGTAGTTTCAATGAACTACCAATACCATCGACAAACATTGTTCGCCAAAAGTCAAGCCAAACAGAATCGATCGATTCTACGAATGTAGGTCGAATCCAATTACCTCGCATCGTCGAACTTTTCAAATTGAGAAAACTTGGACGAGAGTCGATCGAAAAATCTACTTTGAATAAGAATTATGAATGTATGACCGGTTCATTAAACTGTTACAGGCAAATTGGAGCAAAAGCGATGAATTGCCATTGCCCCGGCGGCTACGTGGGACGCAACTGCGAGATACGCCTTCTAGACACGATAGACGGTGGTAAGATTCATTTTCACGTGCACGCTAGTCCCGTTCGCGGAGAAAATACTTGTGGATAACATTCTGATGAGTCACGTTCGCGTGGTCGAATTCGAGCTGCCTAGCGCGTGAGTCATTCACGAAGATCAGTGAAGGTATGTCGATGCTTGTTCACAGAATGCGGAATCGAGAATTGCATAATACAATGCCCTTACAATGAAGAGGAGCGGAGACCGTGCATGTGCAGAAATGGCACCAAGATATATAATAGTAAGTATCGCGCGTATTTAAAATTCATAATTTTTCCAAATATTTAAATTCTCTAAATTGGCACTATTAATAAAAGTAGAGTACGGACTAACATACTAATGCTAGAAAGGTGTCTAGATATTCCTAAAATGATTTTCCTAATCTAAACGTTGAACAATAGTTAACAAATACGGAAACTGTTGCAGATCGTTCGAGGTACGAGTGCAGGATCAAATTATCTAACGTCACGTCACTACGATCCGGCCTGATAACGCAACACGGTAGCTTGGAGACGTACATCGGCAAACAGGTGAGTTGCTGCTCGAAGATAGATGCTTTATTTCCTAGATATCTATAATCGTTTTACAATAGAACTTGAAACGTGCGAATCACGCGTACTATCTATATCAAGATCAGTTTCGCAACATTTGGCGTCTCGCTGCCATAAATCGGACCAGGTTGTTTACGAGCGAGACACGCGCTACCGTATGACGAATGTCTCACTAATTTGCTCACGCGGTGCATTCATCTGAACTCCCAGATGTAACATTTATCGTAGCCGTGGTTTTCTTTCCGAACGTTGTCTGGTAACGAATAACATTTTAACAACGTCAATTGATTTCTTAAGTCGTTGGTTAAACCGTGTCTTCCTGGGTCTCCCACGAAGATACGCGTGCCGTTTTTCTTTGCTTTTTGCAGCCACGGAATTAAAATTCCGGTAATTTCTTCGTCGTACAGCATGTCGCCGATGAAAATGTAGTCCGTTGCGTCTGGTGAACGGTGCAGGAGATTTTCTTGGGACACGTTAAGCTCCACGTTGTTTAAGCGAGCGTTTAATTTAATAGCTGCGCAGGCAACTGAAAACATACAAGAGTAGACGTTGATTTAATTTAATTTTTTTTCTAATGTTCAGATTCTCTGGCTTAGTGCTGTAGAATTTGAACAGAGAGCTCATCCTGATCCTCTAATATAACTAGTTATGCCAACATCAGTATACAAATGTAATACAAACATTAAAGAGCTAAAAAGGCCAATAATTTTACATCAACTTTGATACCAGTACAATCGCCTCTTTACGTCCGCAACTATTCCACGGACTTTAATGCAAGATTAGGTACAATTCCATGAACGGATCACACAACAAACATTACATTACATAATAACGTAACGGGTGTCCATTCGCGTGTTTTATATCGGAAAAGTATTTGTAGCGATAATCTGAAGATGATTTTATAATTCGATACGAGTTATCGAAGAACACTTAAATATAATGACTCCGTCGTGTCGCGCGAACAAAGGGTGACAGATAAGATAAGCGTAACGCGCATCTCAAGAGGATTCCAGCGGTTGCGTAACGTTTATGTACCAAGAATGCGGTCTTGGGAACGATTTGATCCGGTGAAAGTGAAGAAAGAAGTCGGATTCATCGATGCTGCAACCATGCACTACTTGGAAGAATTTAGGGAGACCCTAAAGTGCCTTGAGAAATCTTAGAGACCCATAAAGAATAAAGGTCTCTACATTCCTGCGTCCGAGCAGATGCTGCACATGGGTCGATAACGTCTGCGAGTCCCGTAATCAGTTTGCACTACCAGTTTCAGAAACGTACGTATGCTACGACGTAATATTAGTGCGTCAGTGGGATTAAGTATCGTGCGGAGGGAACAATTTACGAATGCAATGGACGTCCAGAAACCGGCCACCTTTCACTGACGCACGAGCAGAATAGCCCCCTTTTGAGCCGACCTTCCTGTGAAACGGGGAAATCCAAGTTGCTTGACCCACATTTTGGACTTTCTTCGAATTGCTCGGAATTATCGATTCAGAGACCTTTATGTCAGGTTTGTGAATATACTGACTACTCCACGAGTTAATTTCTCGTCTTTCAATTAACAAATTATACCTCGGTATGTACAGAGACAGTTCCACGAACTGTGCGCAATTACGGAGGCTCCTATCGATTCGCATTCCTGCTGATACGCGAGTATTAATGGAATTAAAAAAAAACATAGTAAATTCTGAAATAGCTCCGAGATTAATTCAACTTCTTGAATGCACTGAAATCACCTTATCAACGTTCCATACCTGAGACACTGAATGTGTTTTGTTTAGTCTTCAGATCATTGACCCAACGCAAAAAAAGGATCATCCTTGAACCGGCCTTGAATTTTTGTAACAATCACTTTCTCTGTAGCTTTCCCTTTATATGTTCTTTGCATAACAAAAGTTCTATTTCCACCCGAATTCGATCCTTTGTTACGTCGAGCTTTCTAATGCGTCCTACGATTCTATGTATACCACAGTATTTATAGCCGCTACTATTCCGAAATTCCACTACTGTTCCAAATTTATATCGGCCATTCAAAATCTGTCTAAATTTAAGATTCGACAGCTATCGAATAAGTGACGTCAACCTGTCTTCTTTTTTCTTTTTGCTGCATGCCGTGGTATTTCCATCCGCTCCGGCTGGTTTTTATCATGTCCAAAGCACGTTGCACTCGGTTCTTCCCTGAACCCTTCCTCATACAATGAGGAAATTCCCAGACTTTTCCATACATCGACCTTACAATAATTCTTACTTTAGTTACACCTTAACTTTGCACAATCTATGGAAATGTTGCTTGCACATTAATTTTCCTAGACAAACATAAATAGATTTCCTGTCATTTTTGTATCTTGGGCTTCCCGAGGGAAGTCTGGAAAGGGCTCAGAACTAAAGAAGTTCTGAGAAGAATCTTAAGAATATGCTGAAGTATAAGAAAATCTTGGAAAATGCTTAAACAAATGTTTCAAGATTCCAACTGTGTTTATCTTTCTCAGACATCAGTGCAGATATCGGCCCACCTATCTGGTAATACCTTCCTTGAAGCCGTTATTAATAGACTGCTCAATATCTGCGTTTAAGCTTAATAAAATGCGAACCTTTATCGATATCGTTGGCAACAACTTTCTTCGCACCCCGAAGTTTGGCGGCTATAGCGATAGCTCCGCATCCAGCCCCAAGATCTAAAACGGTCTTCGAGGACGAGAATAACATTTTCCCATTATCCAGGACGAATCTGGCGAGTCCTTGTCCGCCTGGCCAATAAATTGACCAGAAGGGATCCACGAAAACGTTCGCGTTATCTTCCAAAATATTTTGAACCGGTTCGTGATAAAGAGCACAATTTGGCGTTAAGAGGTACAACTTGATCTCTGGCGTCATGTGGTTCGTCGTGATCTCTGTGTTGTTTAAGATTGTCCAATTCACTTTGCAGTCACGTGAGGCTGTGCTGTTCGAGGAAACTCTTTCACGAGACCCGCATGAATGAAATATCCTTCTGATCATCTGGTAGCCTAAAAAGAAGAAAGGTATCGGTAAAATGTCGATTCGAGGAAACAGTCTATTTCTTTTGCATTGCAAAAACATTATCAGCATTGACGTAACTAAAATTTTTGTATACTGGAAATACTTTGAGTGGTCATATATGGAAAAGAGGTGCATTTGTATCGACAATAGGACCTGCTATCGAAGGGAAGACTAAGCCCTGATATCGCCAATGACTATTGAAAATCGAGGTACCTTCCTGGAACGATATCATGATTTGCAACCTTATCCACTGTAATCAGAAATAGCCTCCCCGCGATAAGATTAAGCTCGCACTCTTTGTACATTGAAGAGGCTGATTTCGAGGCGCCGAATGTTTTCAATTACAACAATCGCGATAGGAATTGCGCCACAAGTCCAGTCGTAAACGACTGCATACATTTCTTTCTCAAACTTCTCAAATGGTCTACTTTCGTCACTCTTTAGTACTCTCTTTTTTAAACGATTTACATAATTACATGGTTAACAGAAGAATCTTAAAATCCAAAAGAAACGCTACAACTCTCACTGGATCGTATTGTTCGTTCATGAATCATCTTTGATATCAATGAGAAAAATTACCTCTTCGCGTCATGTTTTGATGTCCTCATAAAGAAACAAAGCAAACGATATTTTTCTAATCGGCCATTCTCTGCAACAGAATACGGTTGTTGAAACACAGTAGATAACACGACGATTTTAAAGTAATAGTTCCATTTTCCTTGCCTAAGGGTTTCTGGGATTCCCAAACGACTGCGCATGCGCAACTTGACTCCTCCGTGGGTGGATGACCGACCAAGGTTGGCTCGTATTTTCTGAAAAAAAATTGCGTTAATCTATTGCCTTATTAATACCGTAAAGAGCAAAAATTGAAATGCTATTCAAATGATTTACTGGAAATAGCAGATTGGACTCCCAGCATCGTTATGCTTTATCATCGATTATGTAACAAATTAACTTTCCAATTCATCGAAATTAAAACCGTTACGTGTGATCGGTTTAATTTTAGCACGCGCGTAGTCCTTGTGAGATATTATTGGTACGACAAAGGACATCAGAGAGGGAGAGGAAAATCCAAAGCAGATGCGAAATATCGACTTTTCATAATTCCCCTATCAAACCGTGATTCCCAGGTAGATTTCCATCTGGGTTATCAGCAAATCTGTTCGAGTTACAAGGCTGATGAAACCGAAGGGACGAGACGGTGTTATTTGCATCATGTACATACCATCTATATTTGCCACAGACACGTGTTATCGATCGAAATAGAAGAACAATGTGACGACCAAAACCCTATTCAGTGGGACGTGAACCTGTTATTTAAATATATTCTATCTGACGAAAAGATGCTGGAAATTTGATGTATGTACATCTGCTATAGCAACTTGTCATTCTAATCGAAGAGAAACGCCGACTCATTCAGCGCGAAAATTATCTCGCGTCTCTGTTTCAAGATTACACGATGACATTTCGAATGGTCAAAATGTCGCGTGGAAGGAAGTCCCTGACCCGGGCACTATTTTAGTTTCGATGTCTTCTAGGATCGCCTGCAGGTAAACCTTTGCTCCTCATGACGCAGCAACTTTCCCGTACAGGTTCATCGTTGGAATTTCTTTCCTCAATCTGCTCCAAAGGGTATTTTATGTTAAATACTGCGAAGAAACCCAATATCGTAACACGAGGAAAATAATACTACTTTTCCTTGTGCTACATTTCCATAGTACGGGAAATAATACGCTAATTACCGCAAAAAAAGTACCTACATCTTTAAAACGCTTATCAAATTATAATGCAAATTATATGGAAGTTTACCGTAAAGCTTTTCGCGTTATTTCGATTCCAGGTAAAAAGCTTTCACGACCGATTCGTCGATAAAAAGCTCCGTTGTGTGTACACACGCTCGGTATAGTTTATCTGGAATACCCCGGCGATATATAGAACGTCGCGGTGGTGAGGGAAGTGGTCGTATAAAAGCGACGCGCGCCTGCTTCGAGGTCATTCGTAACTCGAGCCTCCTCTAGTGTGGTGTTAGTACGACAGAACGTTGAAAGGATCGTATCTCGTGAAAATTACGTTATTTCGTAAAACTCGTGTGCATCAGTCAGAAGCTCCCTGAAGAGTCAGTGAGTTGGATTAGCTGTCAACGGTGTCTTCTTGTGATAAACTGTTAACCAAAGCCGAGAAAATTCCAACATTTAGTGAAGTGTGCAAAAGAGGCACGCTAGGGATTAAGCCGGAGACTAAGCAAGAACAAACACTTACGGATATGACACGTTGCCAAAGCTTGCAGTCTTATGCATCCGTCGCGATGACAGACAGGTAAGGATTCACTTTGATACCCGGTACAATCTATAAGATGACACGTGCCGTCGCTCGCTCGCGTGCATAGTTTACATTGTTGCGTGAAACATCGCAATCTCATGCATTGGCGTAACTAATTTTTATCTCGGACAAATTAGATTCCTTAGTCTCGATAATAGAGTTAGCATTTCATATCAGATAGCTGATAGATATCTGAACAGTTTAGAGAATTAAAATTGTTTGGAATTTACGTTCTTAAGAATTAAAAAAGGATTTGGAAATTTACGGCCCTCGTGTTAAGTGAATGAAGCCATGGAGAGAGGACTAGTTACGCCAATGGTCTCGTGTCAATCTTGCTGAATTTACACTCTCTTTAAAAATTCCTCACAACTGATTTCGATTGATTTTTCAGTGGTTCATTACCCTGGTTAGAACAAAAAGAACAGAGGTGTCCTAGGACCACGATAACTTGTGGAATGCTGCCAACATTAAGAGCACTGGCATCCAAGGAATGTGAAAACAGTCAAGGCACCATCTGCCTCGTGCCGTTTGATACCGAAATGGATTCAGCCAGCCATCTGCAAATGATCTTGTTAGAGGCTTATTGTCGTGAAACGGGAATCAAAGTGTTACGAGTATCCAGAGAGCGGATACGAGATCACTTGTGTCCGGGAAGCGGCGATCCCTCCTGTGTGTTAATCTCCAATGAAGATCCATATTTTCTCGATCCACCGGAATGAATTGGAAGTACTTCTTCAGGAATGAATATTTTTTTTGACTGGATATAGTCATGCAACGTTGCTACGTTCCCTGAAGCTGCGAAGGACCGTTGGTCGATCGGTGAAGGCGGAGGATGTGATCGATTTTCCGTTTGAGCGTCGTCACGGTTGAAGTGGTGGATCGTTGAAGAGCTCCGATGATAGACGGTTGTCGTCTGGAGGCAGCGGACTGACGTAGATATCTGCGTAAAATTAATGTACAATGAACAAAAAGTTTCAAGCGTGAAGATCGTTTAAACATTTAAACGAGACAAGAACGGAAAAAGAAATGAACAATTGCGTCAGTCGTGCGGATACGCATACTTGTATGTATAGTTATGTTCCGCGCGCACGTGTGTAATTATGATGTAATTGTGGAACATCGAAGAAATACGAAATAATTATTTTGTAGTAGAATATCGAGAGAGAAGTTATTTTTATGACACAATGATTATTTTGTAATAATATACGTACTTGTTAACAAAAATGGTGCTTTTCTTTATTGTCCTAAAAAATCCCTAACTTTTAACCTTACACCTCCGGTATTGATGCGTTGTACTTCTTCGCAGCTTGCAAAGTATTTAAGGAATTCTAACATCTCGTCTATGGAGGATTTACAAATCCTGAGCGTGACGTGAGTAGGTACATTAAACGATAAGTAATTTCAGTCACCTTTTTAATGAAACTCGTTACAAAAACAAGAAATTGCTTTGAATGAAAAGTTTACCAACGGTACTTAAATTAGACCTTATTATTTACGTATCGTTGCGTAGACCTACGTCGGAGATCACTGTCCACTTTTTCGGAAACTCGGAAGATGGAGATAAGATTCGAGAATCTCTCAATAAGCTGGTGCAGCGTCGACGACTTAGCGAGATCTCCCTCGAATCGACTCACTTCACATTTCAGCAAAAGCCAGCTCCCAAATTGCAGGTAGCTGTCCTTGAACGTTTATCGAACAGTTTATGCAAATATAAATTATAAACAAATTAATGTACCTGCTTAGAGTCTCCGTCTTGATCAAGGAAATGAACACGAGGTTCATTTGGGGGATCAGTTCATCTTATCTTGCACCGCGCAAGGCAGCTATGGAATGAATTTCACCTGGTACAAGGATAATATGCTGGTGAACATGCACAAGGCAACCAGGTGAATGAACAAGTCTTCAATGTTTATAAAATATAAAACACAATTGCTGTCAAAGACAATTTGAAGTTTGAACATTAGTTAAACTGACACCATAGTTTGATGGTAAAGTAGGATTTGGCGGTAACATTTAAATTTCTGTTTGAGTCGATAACATCACATATGAGAGGAAAATGGTAGAACATAGCTCTTGAATTGCAGGACCAAAATTTAATATAAGTTCAATTATTTTCATTTTTATTAAAATGGAATTGAACAATAAATTTCAAACTGAACATTATAAATGAAAATGAAACATTGCATCTTATCAAGAAGCTCAATTTTTACATTCTTTTTTAGAGAAATCTGGTACAAGCATCTTCCAAATGATGGTTCTGATTTCCATACATCACTATTAACCATTGAGAAGGCATCCATGCTGGATGCGGGTCAATATACATGTCAGATAGTTGATTGGGGCGTACAGCAATGTAAAAGCATTTATGTTGACGTGAGGGATGAGCCAAATGTGAAGGTGATGCCAATGAGTGCTACTATAGATAAGGTAACTATTTGATTTCTTCTAAGCTTTATATCTATCCATTGTTATCTATGAAACAATTATCTACACTTTGTCTTCTTCTAGGGAAGCAGCATACAATTAACGTGCATGACACCCAATATGCCCAACATTGACATAGGTTTTGGTTGGACTAAGAACAGAGCCTTGCTTAAGCTGGAACCTGGTAGTGAAGTGTGGGAGGATCTTTATCCTTCAGGAAGTATATTGAAAATCACAAATGCTCAGGTATATTCTTTAATCACTGACAAAGCATTTACCAGTCTTTAACCAATGGTTGATATTTATAGAAATCAGCAATATACACGTGTAACGTAGCCGACAAGTCAATGTCCGTCCGTGTAGAAGTTGTAAATCGAACACTGATTCCCATTTGCTTGAAAGGAATGTCTTGGGGATTAAATTGGCCAGATACAGTCCCAGGTTCTGAAGCATTATTAGAATGTCCTCAGTATTTTATAGGGAAGAAAGTATCCAGGCTGTGTTCTATGAAAGATGCGACTACACCTGAATGGCAGATACCTGATTTTTCTTCTTGCTTGTATGAACCACTCATCTTGTATTACAACAAGGTTTTCATAATTTTACCTGCTTTTGTAATATCCGTATCTAAACATATTGTATAGTTAACTTGGATGTACATACTATTTATGTTTATAGTTTAAGAGTCTGACTCTGGGTTACCAGAATACAACTGGCTCTGAAACAATTTTTGCTTTCTGGGAGATCTTGCGATCACGGAGTATGCCACTTTACCCAGGAGAAGGAGATCGAATTCTGAATATATTAGCCGAGATTGAACATTATCAGCAAAATGTCGAACCATCAGATTTGCATGCATCTACAGATGCTCTTATACGAATTATCGGTCGAGTATTGAGCGACAAAAATTCAGTTCTTAGCCAACAAGTAATGTCTTTCCGTAGTTTTCGATAAATTAGGAGAAAAACAGTAATAAAATGTCTATTCATAAATTCCAGAAAGTGTTACTGCTGCTGCAAATTATGCGAAGAAGCTTGACTTACTGGAGCAGAAACGATACTCATCCTTATAAACATCTATCTCTTCCTTCGCTCGTGGTAGATGTCCAAGAATTACAACAGCACAGTGGTGACAGCATTACGCATTCGCTTCAGATCTCTGCAGACGATTCCACGTAACTATTATGCACTTCATAAAGTTTGATCGATTGTGTTATTCATTTTTTTAATTGAATTATAGATATCCAAATTGGTACGAAGATAAAACGACCATACGATTGTGGAAGAAACGACTACGTGGTTTAAAGGCCAACGGTACACTCAGTGGAATCGTAATTGTTTACAAGAATGTGTCCCATTTTCTTCCAAATACATACGTCAAAGAACTTGAGTTAGTAATATAAGGATCAATGACTCGTATAATTTATTTAGATCATTAACTCAATAATTTTTTTCTGTTCAAAGCGATGGCACAGACCTCGAATTTCGTATTAATTCCCGCATCATCACCGTGGCAGTACCTGCATTCAATTTTGATAAGCATAATAAGATATGGGTGGATCTACAAATAAAACACGTGCAAAATCAATCTAATTTTTGGAACGTGTCTTGTGGCTTCATGGATGACATGGGAATGTGGGATCTGAACAGCTGCATTGCTAACACATTACCAGGAGACTCCACGACTCATTGTCTATGTCCTAATACTGGCACATTCGCAGTTTTTCTAACGGCACGTGCAGTGAGGGTAAGTGTGCACGGTGAAAAATATTGTATCTAAAGTTTTAAAATAATGGAAACAATTTCAGGTAGTACTTGCAAAAAGAGAACAAACGACATTTATCGTGATATTTGGATGCGGTAGCTGTTTACTACAGTGTCTTTTGTCCTCTCTGATCCTTGGATACTTTTGGTGGAGGAATCGAAGTTGGTTAAATTTTCTGAAACTGCAGTGTTGTGGTGCTTTGGTCGGAGCGATGACTGTATTTATCTACGCTGTACATAACAATTTACCAGAGGTATAGACAATATCGATTATATATAATTTTGTAAAAGATATAAAGGTGTGATAATTGCTTCATGTGCCCAGAGCTCATATGCAGTCGTGGCGATCGCTTTGGAAGCATTCCTTTTAATCGGCATGTCTGCACCAATATCAGAAGCTCTGATAATCTTCGCGGGCCTGACTCAAGCTCGATCCAATCATCATTTTCAACCTACTGTCATTGCAGTAATTACTGGTTAGCTGAAATGTAACTGATGCGTCGAATGTCAGTTAAATAAATATAAACACGGTTTTAATATGATTTAGGTGTACCTATCTTAGCAGTACTAACTACTGAATTAACACACAAGAGCACTGGCTGGCGACACGAATCGTGGTGGTTGATTTTTGGTAGCGGAGTTTACAATATATTCGTAACTTGTGCCACAATGATGTTACTTATATTCGTATTATTGTACCTGGGAATTTTGCACAAAGCTCATGCACTCGTCGAGGAAAATGTGATGAAGAAAGAAGCGATAGAAACAAGGTATCAAACTAGTAGAACATCATATCATTCCACAACTTCTTTTATGAATAATACGTTCTTTTCTTAGACTACGAATGCTTCATCGAGCTGCGATCGTCATTTGTGGCGTGATCGCAATGGAAGCTTCTTCCATCTTCTATATAAACTCCAATTCTATCATCTTCCACTATACATTCGCTTCTCTTTCTTCATTTTTAGTAAGTATACATACATTGATATAATTAAAATTGAAATCAATCTAATAATAATTTCTGTGTATTTAGGGATTTATCATAGTAATGGTTTACATTGTGAATGGCGAGCTAGCGATCATCGACTTAATTCTACGGAAAATGACATGGAAACGAAACACTGAAGAAGAAATAACATCTGAACCGATCAAAGGTACTTCATAACAGAAATTTTATTGAAACATTATATATTAAAGGAATCATTTTCGTTGTTATCAGTGTGTTCGAAGAGCGCAGAGGTTGAAAACGACACGGCACCGCCTCCATCATCGTTGAGCATCGGGGAATCGTATCTTGAAGCTCGCGGTATCGCAGCTGGCAGTATAGATATGCGCGAATTTATGAACGAGTCCTCTTCATCGTATTCAAAGCCTTCCGTCTCCGTTGCCGGCAGGTTCTTACCAGAAATACGCATAGATCATTCGGACGATATAAATCTAGAAAATTACAATACCAGTCCACGAAAGTATCAAGAGGCAATCACGACATTTGACAGCGTATTCACTGCACGTGGTTCACACTGTGTGAACGAACCACCTTACGGCAGTGGTGAGTGTTGTGGCTTCAGGGAATTCGGCAAATACCGCGAGTCACAGGGACAAATTTTTATTGCGCACAATCCGTCGCCAGAGAGCGCTGCAAAAGTTTTGTGCAGCGCTGACGTCGAATCTCGTCTAAGTGGTATGCCAGACGTCACTTTGGCCGTGAAAAATGACATTGAGCTACTATCTACAACGGAGTTGAAGAGCAGAGAACACGTGAACGTTATTCCCGACATAGCCAACACCACCGAACGTAAGCAACCAGACGGAGAAGAGAATACACCTGAAATAGTAATTACGAACTGTGAAGCCACTACGAGCGGTATGCTCGATCGTATTGCCCATGACCTTGACTATTTACTGAATCGTACACACTCCACAGATGGAACTTAGATATAAGCATAGTATAAGTCTGGGCAAGTCGATGCCCTTTGGACAGTTATTTCATCGTTACCAGCGATCGTTTGCTGTAAAAATATTTAAGCAGTACTGCCCTTTATACGGTTCGACCTCCATTATTCGTATCTTCCATCGGTTTTTATAACACACGTGTGTATGTTTAATCTGTATAGAACACACACATACATGTATGAATATTGGCGTAACTGGAACTTTTGTTTGGAGTGAGACAGAATCTCCTAACTTTACCAATAGTACCGACGCTCAATGCCAGGCTATGACCAAGTGGCTCTTGAAAAGTTAGAAAATTGAAATTTTAGGAATTAAAAATTGAGGATTGGTAATTAGGGAGGAGCAATATGTATTTTGAAGTGGTCAAGCCCACCTTGCTCCCTATCTAGTTACAACCATCTACATGTGAAGGTGTGAGGTCTAACTTAGAAATCGACTTTGCTAAACAACACTGGTTTAGAATGTTTGATAGTGCATGTAGATGAGGTGATTCATCAGATAAATAGGAAATTTAGATTCGATTGGGTCAAGGATATATCATGTAACAGTACATAGAATAAAATACAAAGCTAAATTGAAACACATTGAATAAAGTTTCTATAATTTTTCTAATATAGATACATAATATAATAGGTTGAGTTTCATGCAAATTTAAAAAGTATTTAAGATACATCTAGACATTTGAAGAGAACCATGTAAAAGATTTTGGTCAATATTGTCTTATATGTTTCACAAAATGTTACTTTGTCTACTGTTAAATGATAAAGGTGTACTATTCTCAGCAGAAAAGAAGTGCTCAGGGATGGCACAGAAGTAAAGGGGGATACTTCACGCACACTACTCGATTCTCTATTCTTATACGAGCTTAATTAGTAGATGTGATCGCTTTGACTACTCGAGGCCCCCTTCGTTCCGACCAATTGGACCCACATTCCTTGTAGGGCACTTCTTCTCTGCCAACAGTAGCGGGCAAGGAAATTTTGAGGTTTTATCGATGAATTTTATCGAATACACGTTGAAACGAGTAAACGAACGGCAATTTTTAAAAAATATTATTATTATTATCATCGTCGTTGTCGTTTATAATGTTACTAAATGTTTTATCACGTAACAAAGACCTAGCATCGTAACAGTATTACAGTAAACCTGCAGTGTGTGCAATACGAATGAAAAAATTATACAATTCATTTATTTATTTTACAAAAACGTATACATTTTTCTCATTAAATACTTCTAAGAAAGTTCAGTCGTAAAGAGACTATTTGTAATTACGTTTTTCTTTACACTCCATCCATAAAAAGTTTTACATCGAAGAGACATTTCATGTTTCTCCTTCTGCTATAACGTTACAGGAATAAATTTTTATAAAACGCATCGCTTTGGATTCATGTTCCCCTATTATTATGTAATGTTTAGTCAATTGAAGTACAAACTGGGAAAGTGAAAGTCAAAAAATTGATCAGGAAGACAAGGAGCAACAGTTTCAATGAACGAAAACAAATTTCAGGCAGTGGAATTCCGAGTTATAGTATTTATTTATCACTGTCATCGTACAGCCCTTTCAATTAATATCCACGATTCAGTCGTCGCACTTTTTTGTTTGTTTTATAATTTCAATTATAAAGCTATACATTCAATTTAGTTCCATAATCTACTTACACACTTAAGATCGAAGTTTACGTTGGTTGGTAATAGTTTCCTTTTTTTTTTCTTTACCACTAGTAATGGTTAGTCATTTGCTTAGTGAAATGCGTCACTGAAATTTTATTTTACCGAGGTATGAAATTGGAGCAGTATCTCTTGGCCAAGCACGTGTTATAAATGCAAAAAGACATAATAAAGTCGGTGTTAGTTTGTTAGCACTCGAATATACCTATATGACTAGTTTTCTGTGTCAACAGATTTTCTTAAAAATATAAATTATTTACAAGGATTTCAGCTAATTTTATCGAGATTTAATAATCTTGGTTTAATCACATCAATAATACCGAAGTATAGGTGGGCCGTGGCTGTTTAACGGAATACTACGAAAGAAAATAAAAAAAAAAGATTCTTTTTTCTATCCTTATAGTAACAAAAAAGGAACCTAGTCTCTTATTTTTATATTTCATTGTTCTAAACAAAGGAAATACGTCGATTCATATGACTCGGATCGAATCATAATACATACTGAATATTCAAACGAGAACAAGTGCGAAATTTGTTAATGTCTCCTTTTGGTACGTTACATTTTTCTTATTGCTGTACGATTAAACTGTTCTGTACCTATTAATTAGATCGTTACCTTCCTCGTTTTAATTTTCTTTAAACCTTGTCCATTAATATGTACAAACTTAATTTCATTTTTTTATCGAACATTTCATCGTGTCGCGGCAAAAGATAAATTTGAACTTTGATTAATATTTAGTTCCAAGTAAATTCGTACGCGTTCTCGACGAATCGAAACGTTCACTAGTTAAAATGCCCTTTATTTCAGCCTAATAACAAGTGACTACGATTATTAGTAATACCTAGGCGCAGTTTTGGAACTCGTTACATTCGCAATTACATTTTCTTAATAATTGTACAGTCAACTGAAATAGCAGAGCTCGTTCTCTTTAATTTCACATTAGATTTATTCAGCGTATACTCTAACCGTTCGAACTACCTTACTATTTAATAGAAAACTTAATACCGTTAAATTAAATTAAATTTCGTAAACAAAATATCGTATCCTCGATGAAACGAATATTTGATGATATCGAGTTAACGATTTTAGCCTAGTGGTTTAGCCACGGCACCTTTTCTGCTTTTTTTTTCTTTTCTTTTATTATTTCAATCCATTCTTTCTTCCTGTTTACTTAAATATAAAAATACATAGCCAGTCTATACATAGAGCGTGCAAAGTGGCACAGTGAACTGAGTTACCAGATATCCTGGATGGTTAACTACCGCTTTCAGCATTCGACGGTGGTTCCGTTTCATCATGACTTTTGCTGGCGTTACTCGATACGGGGAGACCTGAGGTTTTTGGCAGCGGGTTAGTTACACTATCACTATTGGATGTTGTCGCGTTATACATAGAATTATCAAAGTGTTGCAAGCATGGAAATTCTGGACCAGGCAGCAATAAAGTAGTTTGGGTGGGAAGATTAGTTAACGATACCATTCCAGGTGTCATCATTTGCTTATTAAAACAACTTCTTAACGCTTCTTCAATTAAATTTGCTATTTTATCACGATCGTTCTACAACAGACGATACTAAGTTGAAAATCATTGTTCATATTATCGAATACCATAATTATATAAATCGAATCAGTTACCTCGTTAATGAATCCAAAATGTACAAGCTCTTGCGCGAGAAGCATCGAAGTATCTAATTGACTCACAGGACACGTCAATTGCCTATTCATTTTGTCGTCCATGCGTAATAATATTGTCATCTATAAAATACACCAACGTAAAAAACAACAATTTTTGACGGTGATGTTAGGTTACTCTCACACTGTGTTATATCACTCACAAGTAATTCACAACTTTCTTCTCTAGGTTTAACATTACACATCATATTAACTACTCTTCGAGACTCCACGTCCACCGGTTCGGGTGTGACCGATTTTACCGATTCGGTTACCTCGGGCGATATTGCCCTTGGTCGAACAGGTGGTGGTAGCTTTGCCATAAATGCTGTTAACGGATATATACCATATCTGTCGAGAAGAAAAATAATCGATATTGTTAAAGAACAAGAGACTCATACGATGATATATATGTACTCACTTTACATCTTCGACAAACTTTTCTAACTTTTCCGTAACGGGAATATCACTCAATCGAATTTGTTGCGGTGGTCGACCTTGGTATTTAATTTCGGCAACCACTGTATCAGGTCGGTATAGCCTTTGTAATACTTCGTCCGTTATCGTTTCTGAAATATTAGCTGGAAAAGTATAAAATCAAGTTAGTTGCTATTCTTACTACACTTTAGTTATAACAGAAAATATGGGACATAACGCGTGATGCATTTTCTGACACATGATAGTATAAAGATAAGATAACAAGGATATTATTGCACTTACTGGCTGAATTAACCAAAGCATGAGCTGCGAGTAATTTTAAAGAATGTACTTCGAATAAAACTGGATGAAAAAGAAGTTCCCGCGCACTCGGTCTACTTAAAGGATCTACTTGAAGACATTTCCGGATAAAGTCTTTCTGCTGGAAATCGTCTAAAGATTCTATCGTTTTCTTAACGTTCTCCTCGGTCACGATCGTGCCAGTATCACCGTTACCCTGAATTTCTAACGCAGCCATCTCCAGAGCACACATACCAAATGAATAAATATCAATGGCGGGGGTTACTGAATCTACAAAACGCAAGTTAGATGTACCAAAATAAATTACGTAATTATGTACTGTAATATTAGATGCAAATATAGTTCACTCACTTCCGTATTCAGGTGCTACAAAATGCATGTTTTTCATATTTGTTCTACAAGTTTTAACGTGATGATGAATCGCATCTGGTGCCACTGTAATTAGTAAACAACACACATTACATTTACAAGTATGCCTCAAATATGTGTACACAAAAGTAATATGTTTATATGAAAGTATTTAACAAGCAACGCATTGAAAAACTTTCTTTACGAGGCAGCAGGAATTCTGTAAATCTTCTATGTGGTAGAAAATGACAATTGTTCTTTCTGAATACCCGCCACCTCCCTTTTAATAAGTGAATCGATAAATCACTAGAAAAATTGTGTTGTAACTGAAAAATTATCCTATGAGTAACTTGAGCCCTTGTACAATCGTTTTTATATATACACTTGTATGCATCAAAGTGTCTCTGGAAGAAGAAAATAGCACTTAAAAAATTTCTTCAAACTTTGCAGAGACACTTTTATCAAGCAAGATGAATTTTTTAAGTCGGAAACGGAATTCGACGAATTTATTTTATCGGTGAATAAAGATGCAAAAAAAATATTGAAGTATAATGAAAATTTGTGCGATATCGGGGTACAAACGATATTAAAGAAAATAAATTCGAACATTTCGTATTAACCAATCTACTAATAAGTAAGATGCGCGCGCGCGTGTGTTTATGTGCGTGTTGTGTGTGTGAAATATCGTTTACCTCATTATGCCTAAATTACTTAGCTGGCAACAGTTGATGATTATCTGCCAAATGTATTTCCTTCAAATTCACCACCTTTTCACAATTTACACCAACCGAAGAACGTCGATATCAGTTGACTTATCCTCTTGGATGGATAAAAGTACGAATACACTTCTTCTCTCTTCAAAGACTTTGCTGTGTTTTTTCATTATCTAGATTAGCCTATCTGCTATAATTAAAAATGAGGACTCAAGTTACTCCTAATATATTAAAGTAGTTTATACACAATTTTTCTAACAGATTTACATTACTAATAGAAAAACAGAATACATATGTGCACAGAGAATGAGAGAGAATCACGGTACGATATAAACACTGTAATCATGATTTAAATAAAATGGACTGCTAAAAATATATTAGGTTTTTAGCAGAATTACCAGAGATAGAAAAAATATCTCATCTTTCATACGTGTATACCATTTAGTTTTAAGCCCTGACACACTATTAATCTTACAGTAAGCTTCGACTGAACATGGAGTGAAACTGTCTTCACAATACATAATTGAATCACACCCTCCTCCACACGTTATTATATACTTTTTAATACTTGTATTCAAATGTTATTTATACATCGTTCACTAATCGTTCATTAATCGGATAACTGTGTAAAACTTATTTGTTACTGTCGATCGACTTATTGTACAAGCGTTGAAGAGGCAATCACAGTAATAGCAATATACGTACTTTGCTTGTACCCCATGTAAGAACAAAATAAATACCAGTTAGGTCACAGTTGTTATTTAAACATCACTGGTTGGTTGATTAATAATCCTATATTGTGATTTTTAGTTTTCTTCCATGAAAATTATGAGAAACAAAACTATTAGCTTCTCATAGTCCTGTGAATAAAAAAAGGGAAGTGCCTTGCAAACTCCTATTCCAATATATGCTAAATAATTTCATTTAGGGATAAATGCTCTCTTGAATACCTACAGCAGCTATGTATTGGTATTTGTTAGCAGAATGTTTCAATACATAAAATACAGGAACATAAAAACTGTATTTTCTTGGGCATAAAATGTCCTATAAAAAGGAAAATATTTTTATATTTTATCATTAAAGTACTTACCTGAACCAATCTTTACAAGTCCATTATGTTGAATAAATATAGTGTCACAAGTGAGGTTTCCATGAATAATGGGGGGAGAACAGGAATGCAAATAGCTGAAATTTTAAAATAAATTGATACATATGTATCATAATAAACAGACATACGATTTGTTATTAATGAAAAATTTATAATTTATGTACGAAATATACTACCTTAATGCAGAAAGTATTTGAGTACACCAACGTTTCCATGCTTGCAGGGGTAATTTTTTCACATTACGTTTTGTTCTTTTTAGGAACTGTTTTAAAGATCCAGAGGACATATATTCAGTTATAAATATAACCTAAGAAACAGAAATATATATTACAATGAGTAATATTTTTAAAAAAAATCTTTAGTACAGTCCTATTTAAATGTAAAATGTTGCACTTACCCGAGGCTTATCATTATGGGTATCTGTCCAATACCTATGAAATTTAACAATATTGGGATGTTCCAGTTGTGTAAGGTTTTCAAAGACAAGTTGTATTTTTTCCTCCTGTGCTTTGAAGTTTTTTCTTTCAGAGAATTGCACTTCGTTCCAAACAACTTCAACCCCTTCTTCTGTATCCATTGCCAAATAGGCACAGTCGATTCCTGGTACATCACGTTGCTCCACCTAAGTAACAAATGATATTTTTTACAAAAGTAGTCAATTCTATCAATGTAATTAGTTACACAATTTAAATTAACAACATAAAATTCAAGAGTTAGTCTATTTACAATTATAGTTTATAAGTATACCATACATAGTAACATTTATTTACAATATATAAAAGTTATATAAAACAAAATTGAAACCAACCTATAGATATATTTTAAGATTCAATACGAATGAAGTGGCAGAATGTATTACCGCAATCATTCATTTTAAAGTTACTTAAAGCATAATTCAAACAATTTTGTGCCTATTTGCCATTAGATTAATATGACCTTGTAAAAAATTTGAGGAGGGGAATAAATCATGGTAGGGATTGTTATGGTAGATGCTACCTATAATATACTACTTTGAATTAAAAACTTCAAAATTTGTGTAATTACATTTTCTAATTAAACATTTACAACCAAATAAAAACAACATGCAAAAAATGAAAGAGATAGCCTATTTTTTTTTTAAATAGACATACCTCCATTTCAGTGACTTCGTTTTCACTGCCTCTGGCTGCTCCAAAGGTAGAGCCTTCGGCTAACGTAGACTTGGAACCTACATATACCTAACATAAAATAATAATTATTGAACAACAAGTGAACAAACATTTGCTTTATCTTCATATTAATACTGTTTGTCTTACATGTTGTTTAGAATGTTATTATTGTAACTAGTCAATGATCCAACTATGTTTATTTTTAGGACAAAATATGAAAAACATATCACTGTTGGTAAAAGCTTAATGCCAAAAAGTTATTAGAAGTTCATTTACAAATATAAAGTTAAAAACATATAATATTTACAAAGATATTATAGAAGTTATTTATTCGCGTTAAAGTTGATTTAAAAGATTCATAATAATAGTTAAACATTATCTCTGAATTGTTATGATAAAGTAAATCTATTAATATCCTTATCGTCTGATGACTAAGTCTATAATAAATTGCTTGTAACTACATAATTCTTCCTTTGAATTCAAAAATTAACAAATGATTATACAATGATAAAACTATCTAATTTCAGCTGTAAAAATATTCTGTAGTATCAAAACTAACATTAAGTAAGTTCTGAGACAGGTGCTTAAACATTGTTTAACTTTCACGCCAGACAACAAATATCCCAATAGTTTATTAAACTAAGATCAATGCAAACAAGAAGTATCACAGGAGAATATATTCATTGATGTATTTCCATTACTGTACGATAGTAGTCACAACAAAGAGAACGTATATGCCAATGTTTAGAGCTGTACAACCAACATATAATTGAAACGTGTGGACAAGCCAGATATAAACAAATGCATTGGTGTATTGTGTATAAAAAATACACATACCTCTTCCCGGCGTTTGAGCCACCGCCCGCAGGGGCTCTCCTCCAGGATTTCACTCTCATCCTCAGAATCTTCACCACTTTCTCGCGGTGACTTGTGCTCTGGATCCGTGCTGGAGCGACTCCCGGGCATCACACACGCGATTAGTTGAAGGAGCAGCACCGAACAGAGCACAACGCGACCAAACTCATCGGTGGTAATTCAAAAGAATTCCTTAATATTGCATTTATTATACCATAAGTACTGTCAATGATACACACGTGAACTTTAGTATAAAGAATAGTTGAAACGAACGTTTAGTGCTCTAGCACGATAGCACTCACAGTGACACATGCAGCGACAACCCGTTGCAGGGGAACCCGAGCTGCGATATTTCTGATCTTACGCGGTCACGCGCACGGATCTACGCTTTTCGGTTTCCCTCAAGACTTGGCCGGTGTATCGAACATCGCGTGAGCAACTCACCAATTACACTGTCAAAATAAAATCTCTGTTATGAGCAAAATAGCTTCGATGTGTCACACACTCTAGTACTCATTTTCGCTCTGTCTTCGGTCACGTTCGCCCAGTATGGCGATTAGCGTGCACCGCACCCTTTTCGGACCATTAACAGCGACACCTGTCGGCTCTCGTCTTGATGTCGGGTAAATCCACCACTGAACGCGATTAGAGCAAAAGCAAGAATATTCGTTCGTGCTCGTTTAGTCTAAACGCACCCTAACATTTGTCGAACCGCCGTTTAATAAATTCAATGATACATACGTTGTCTTATGTCGCTAGGTAGTTTGTGCCCATGTGATTGCCATGAGGCATCAATAATCAAAAATGTTGAGATGATGTAAAGTGTTATTCTGAATTTTATACGTTATGTTAAATATTACTGATTAAATAAACATAGACCTTGAACTGAGAATTAGAGTTTGAATTATAGCTTTGATCAAAACTATTTTTATTCTGTATAGAGAGATATATTTGTTATCTGCGCACCCTGTGTGATTATCGTTGATTGAATTATTTATTCTATTTGTTGCGTTTAATTATAGTTAATATTATGACATCTATAAAAACATTACCTTTAGTAGAAGGTGCAAAATTAATTGTCCTTGATGAAGGTGCGGTAGAAATATATTAAAAAATTTCTATATTTTGCCAAGTTTTATAGCTGGTTTGTTGTTATATGTATATATTTCAGGAGTGGATGCAATGTATGCAAGAAAATTAACTGCAGGATGGATAGAAATGTGGAAAGAAAAAGATTCTAATTGTACGTTTGAATTGTTATTATTTTCTGATCCAAAGTCTGTGTATCAAAATGAACCTGAACCTTTTATGTCGAATAATATAAACATTTGTGATTATTACACGGTAAATGTAAATGAAATTGATATAAATGTTCTTAACAAAAAAGATATTCATAGTCTTGAACATATTCTGAAAAATACAAACATGAAATCTATAATAATCATTGATTGTTTGACATCTTTAATTTTATATGTTGGTTTATCAAAGGCTTTATGGTTCTTAGAGAAATTAAACAAACAAACATCACAGTTAATATGTATTTACAGAAGAGATTTTGTATATGATAAGGTACCATGCATTGAAACTTTAGGAACTACATATGTAAAGATAATAAAATCTTACAAAGCACAAACAAATAACAATTTTAATTATATAACTGAATATATACATCGTAAATTAGGTGGAGGAATTTTAAAACAACAAGAACTAGTCATTCAGAATAATATGACATATGAAATTCAATCAGAGAAACTTAAAATACAAAGTAAAAAGTTAGATCTAATACATGATGGTCAAAAACAGAAAGTTGAATCTTCATTTAGAATAGAAATAAATGAAAATGAAATGAAACAAAGGGAAGAAACGGTATTACCGTACACCCTTAACACAAATGTAATAAATACATCTAAAATTCATTATCAACCAGAAGATGTAGATGACTTTGATGAGGAAGATCCAGATGATGATTTATGCTTCTAAATAATTTGTAATTACGTTTTTATATCTAAGCTTGTATTCCATCATTAAATATTAAATTCAAAACACAACATTAACATGTTAAGCAACATTTATTTTATATTTGTTTTGCAATTTATAACAGATTAAAGCTGATACATGGAATATACAACATTTCAGCATTTTAATAATGTCATCTAATAAAAATATATACTTAAAAAATATTTTAAAAAATATGAATTTCAGTAACATGCTATTTCCAAAACATAGCCATTGTATAAATGTTAAAAAAGTTTGTACAAAATATAGATATTCTGATGTTCTATTTTAAAAAAAAGGGTACAATTAATACTGTGCATAATACTAAAATTTACAAATATAAAATTGGATATTAATACTCTATACAGCTGCATATTTCATAAAATATGACTTTTACTATTCTCTGAATTATATTTAAAATCTTTTATAATCTATAGTTTAAGATTCCCAGTCAACAAATTGTGAATAATGAATATACAATAAATAGAAATAAAGTAAAGAACAATGATGTAAAAAAGTAAGCAGCAGTCAAGTGTTAATATTCATCTTTGGTATTTATAAAATTAAATACTATTGTATTACTTTGTTCTAAAGTATTTAATTATGTAATAAAGATTATGTCATTTATTATACACTCTAACAGAAAAACACAGCCACAAGCACAAAGAAAACTTTTTATAGTATCATATAAAAAAAATATAGAAACAAAATAAATACATTGATAATTAAAGATTTTTAATTCCATATCAAATGAAATTATGCAACAAACTAAAAGTGTTTTTCCTATGAAAATACTCTTTTTTGTAGAATTTACAAAAAAATAAGTTATGTATTTTAAGCATTAAAAGTGTAAAGCATGTTCTCATCATGAAAATGATGAGTACTATCAATGTGCTGTAAAACTCTGCTTTCTAATAAGCTTCGACCATATTGTACAGCTTCGTCTCTGTTTTGCGCAATACCAGCTTCGAGTAACCAATTAACTAAATCGGTTCCAGTAAAAACACCTCTGTATACCTTTAATAAACGTCTGCGACATATAGCTATACGAGCTCGACATTCACTTAAGTGGCAACGATTAAATTGATCCCGTATGGCTTTTATTTCGGGGCTTAATGCATCTTCAGAAGGAAGCTGCAATTCTTTTTCTACAAACATAAAAAATTAGTCTATATCACAGCCTAAAATTGTTAATACAAAAAAAATGAACACAGAAATGATATATTATTACCAGCGCGCCATTTACGACACATTTTTCGTAACCAGCATCCTAATTTTCCAAAGCCAGGATCTAATCCAAAAATGGCAAATGCAATTATTGATTGGCCAAAGTTTAAAGCAACATCCAAGAATGCTAATTCCGCATAAACGCCGGTCAATTCTTCCATTATTAATGTTCCAATTGATATAGACAAACCCTATAAAAAAATATTATATAACATTAATTTACAACTTTACAATAACTTTAAATTTAAAAATACATTTCACTGACTCACAATAAACATAGAACAAAGAAGTAAAATAAGAAATACAAGATGTCTAAGAGATTGTGGATCAATCTGTTCATCACTATTGTATGAATGTGCATCACAGTCATCATTTTCATTGTTGTTATTTCTGCATATTCCACCTGAACATCCATCCGGATATTCGCAGCCAATACTGATACAATGAAATATTAATTAGAATGTAACTTTAATGTGTGTTAATTTAAAATTTTTTATAAATTACTTACATTGGTGTAGGTGAAGTAGGAGAAACAAGATCTTCAACATCTACTAAATGTCTTTCAGCACCATCATTATTAGAAGTTTCTCCATCTATTAAATTACTATAAATTGTTGAAACATGTCTACGTTGATACCTCTGCTGCAAAACTAAACAGCCCAATGTTACTGCAAAAAAAATATGTCATTATTCTTCCAAAAGTAATTTTCCCAGCTTCCACATTGTATATTAAAACATACCAATAAAGCAAAATATCAGTATAAAAGTAGAAATTGCAGCTTGAATTCTACCCAGTTGAAAATTAGGATTTTTAAAATCAAGTTCAGAGTTTTTTGGAGATATTGTACTACACATTATAGTTACTATTATAAGTGGAACTCTGTAAATGTAAAAGTTATTAATATTATTTTAGTATCTTACTTATAAATAAAAATAATTTGATCATACCCCCATCCAACAGGATAAAACCATTTCTGTACATTTTGAACAAAATCCAAGGAACGAGAACTTAAATATAGTAATGTTGCGGCTATTGCCGCTGTCCACATGCGACTCGCATATACTCCTGTTGTAATCAGAATGAACTGTATGTACCTAAAATATGATTATAATAATATAGGTATTTATTAAATAAAGTAACTAAAAAAATATAGCGCAAATTACCATAAAATTGATCCGGTATTACGCGATTCAAGTTTGGTCCAAATTATTACACCTATAGCTGTGGCTAACTGAAATCATATTTTTTATATAACATTTGAACTGCATTTTATACAAATTTTATACTATATTAGTACAAACCTGTGCAACTATAATACATAATGTACACTGATGAGTAGCACATCTATATTTCTTTCGTCCTAATCCGATGAAACAACCAATCAACCATATACAAATTGTCGCTGAAGCGATACTCACATCGAAAGAAAATACATTTAACAAATGTGCATAATCTGCTGGCGTTTTCCCAGCAGAAACAGCATCAATTAATTTTGCTGAGACAAACATAAGTGGAGCAGATAAAAAGGTACAAGCAACCATTGCCGATGCAATTAAATCAATTTCGAGATTATATCGAAGAGTAAAGATGAATAGTGCTGGTGCTGTTGGAATAGTACCATACAGAAATCCATATGTACTTAAATCTTGAGTAGCTGTAGCATTTTCTCCAGCATTTAGAAGGATAATCGATTCTCTTATAATTAAAGGAAGAACCAATAATTTTACTGATATTAATATGCCAGGTATAACGAGAGCTGTACCCTTCAATTTATGCACTTTGCCTACCATCATTAATCCTAATAGAAAAAGTGCACTGGCCGAAAAAGCATTACCAAATACGTCGAGAACAGTGGCAAGAACTGATGGTATTACGTGTTTAAAAATTAGATTTCCCAAAATACCAAGTATAGTCATAAGAAGCACTGGATTCAATGCAATTCCTTTTATAATAGAATAAATCATATTTTTATAACTTCTATGATTTTCGTCATAACGTTTACCAATCTCTAACAATACAAAACCAATTGGATTTAAAATTGCCAGAGATATGGGTGCCATTAGATATAAATATGCTGCATATTCAGGATGAGTTGCTCCATACAGTGCATCAACTATAAAAATATACTGTTAGTCTTATATTATTAATAGGTATTCGTGTACATATACACTTTTTATTATACATACTCATTGGATATCCAATGGCAAAATCATTACTTTGCGTAGTAAATATTGCAAAGAGTGCAGCACAACCAGGGTTTGATGGTCTTTTAATGACTAGAGAGACACCAAGAACAATAAAAAATACACAACTTTTGGCTAATAATACAGCAAGAAGAAATCTCCAGTTCACTAAACTAAAATCTAGTTTTGCCAGTGACATAAAAATTAGAGAAGGCAAAGCAAATGTTCCTACAAAAGTATTTAAACCATTTGCTTCATTTTTATTGATAATTTCAAACCTTCCTGCAACATATCTGAAAAAAATATATAATTGATGATTACGTTTTAAGTAAACATATAATAATTTAATATTTAAATGTATGTAAAAAATTTACCCGCACAATATAATTGCAAAACATTGTATCAATGCAAGATACAAATTATCCATTGGTTCATTTTCCAATATTGAAAGGTCAGATCCTTCTTGTGATAGAGACATGGTTGGCAAATTTTTTAAATCTCTGTAAGGATACAATAAGTTTAAAAATAAATGTAAATATTTGTATCGCAAATATAAGAAAATACAAAAAAGAATTTAGTACTTCCTAATATATGTGCAATTGCATTATAATTATTTTCTACATAAATATTGTCATCTTTCTAATATAATGTTACAACCGTCCCAAGTTGGACATGCATACGAAAGAATATTACACAGCAACAACTTCATGTCAACTTCATTTTTACTTAATTTGTATTGTCCTCTTCTTGCATCCTGAAATTTAAAAGAATTAATTACATACTTTATAGTCACAGTTTCCATATGTTCATGTACCGAATAAATTAACTTTTGAAAATAAAATACTATACAATTTTCATATCATTACAAGATAATTATTTTTGAGGATAACGATGAACATCATATAGCATATATAAAAACATTCACTAGCCAAATATTACACACTATGTCAAGTGCACCTTATACCTATTGTATTTTATTTTTATAACAAGAATGAAATATACGAACGAAAATTTATAGAAAACCTCTTCACGATAGTCATAAAATATGCTAATGCCATTTAGTAAAACAATAATTTCTTATAGAAATTCATACCGTTAAAACATTTGCGAGACACTTGTGTCTTACGTGTACGGACAATTTTCAATCTCGTCCGTATGCACTAACATCGATATTCGCAGCTGGATCACATGATTGGTTCATCGCATCACGTGCAAATAATCAAACTTGTACAGAGATATTTAACTTTAAATCTTATTTATTAAAACATAAAAAATAAATTTGTAATTATAACGAAACGTAAGGTAAACTTTTACTGAAGTAAACTAAACTGCGCATTTACATTTAAAACAATTTTAATTATTAAGAATTGTACGCTAACTGTTTAATTAAAATGTAGAATAAATAAAAACTAATACCATTCATATTACTTGTACATCGAAATGCTCTTAGTTTATTTGTATCGATCGAGTGGTCTAGGTAATACGTAATAGCATTGGGATTGCTAAAGATAGGTTATCATTTGCAAATAACTTATCGAAAAATTAGATGGCAGACTTTGAACTTACGTAAAACATAAGGCATATACATATTTTTAACACAATGAATGCTGGTTAACTTCATTAACGTCAGATAGCGAAGGATAAGTGGTTTGAACAAAAAGTGTATATATATGCATATGTTTTGTAAGCATTTTCATCGCAATAAATGTTATCTGAATTAAGAAACCCGTCTCACTGTTATTATTTTTTAAAATGCATATTTACTGTACATACATGCGCAGATACATCCGTGTATTTTTATACGCATTTATTTTTACGATAACGGTGCAAAGTACTTTAATAGTACGCAAATTATACTTTTGCGTCATTGACCTCTATGAATCATAACATTGTTATACCTTGCGCAATTAAGCGATTGCGATATCAAGAGCAATAGTCGACAAATACCTTTCAAATTGTTCGATAGAATCGCACAATATACATATGGATGTACGTCAAATCGATATCGAAGCGATCCAATTTTACCCTACTTCAGAATTGATTTCGAACAAAGTATATCGATAATTGTTGTGTAAATATCATTTTTCTGAACAAGTATCTACGTCGTAATTTTATTATATCCGAGCAAATATCCAATCACTTTATAATCACGTGGCTGATAGTATATTGAAGCAAACTATATATCTACACACATTTATATATGTGTATGAATTTAAACATAAATATTTGTTTCAGCGAACTGTTCGACGTCACCGACTCATTAAAACAGAGATCATTTTACCGTGTAGCTGTTTTATCGCGATAAGATATACTACTGCGAATATAGTTGGAAGTTTCAACGGAATTTTATTTCCAGTTTTCATGCATTTCACATAATTATATAATGAATAATGTTCAACTTTGTATGTATTCAGTCTTTTTTTCCAGGAAGTCCATTGTAATTATATTAGTGTGTTCAGAGAATATAGTCATTATTTATCGTGACGTTATTCGAATCAGACGGAGCTGACGTAAGGCTTCGATTCTCGAACAGCTGGGAAACGGTGTATTTTTTAGGAACATGACGCATGCAGCTAATCGCATTAAGTACAAAGATTCCTGTGACGAATTTACTTTCTTAGGTATTAAAATGTATAGGAAACAGGGAAACCGTAAAATTTAAATCGCATGTATAAATTTGAAGAGTTACATGAAAACGCGTTTATAAGATACGTGAAACATCGCTGGAGGTAACACGAGAAAGGATGTAACATTATAGTGTACTTAATGTAAAACGAGAAAAAGAAATCAGTTTCCTTGTTTGTTTATAAAAATTCTAGTGCTACGCAATTACGTCTTTTAAACTTTATACATGAGTAGCGGTCACGTGGTAAACTATCAATGGTTCGGAGAAGGGGAGGGTAAAGAGCGATACGTTCCGAACGTATATAACTTTCCGCTCGCATACCACCACTTCAGTTCTACTTGGACTTCGGACGTGTGAACTGTACCAAGCTTGAGAACAGAGAAAGTTTTTGTTTGTTGGTGCGCTCATTGTATGGGTAAGTTGTATATTTATCTTAATTTTTTTTATGTGTCGTGCGCTGCCGTGTATATTTCCAAAAGAAACTGTTAATTTATTCCAATAATTTCCATATGTGTACTTCAAATATCTTGTGTGCCCTAGTTCAAGAGGGAAATGCCTTTCACTTCAAGCATTGCATATTTTTGCATTGAGTCAATACGTCTAATGACGCAACAAATGGTAAATACAGAATTATAATGATGTATGTAATATAATGCAAAAAAATTAAATGATATATACTCATGAAGTGTACGAAGCCGAGTGTAAAGATAAATATTTTAGGTATCATTGATATTGCTATATTTTGAAACAAATTTAATTACAATTTTTTTATTTTATAATTGTTGCGATATATCGATTCAAGAAAAACATTGAAATAAATCATTGTTTTATCCTTACGTAATTATTTGCGAGATAACAACTGGTTTGTTTTGAACGAAACTGAACAATATTAAACAGTGAAGATTTAATGTCTTCATTCCTAAATTAAAAGCCTACATCGGTATTGGAATTATTTTTTTCTAATGAATACGTGAAAAATAACAGTGGATTAGCGCGAATCGTAACATTATGCGATGAAGGTCGTACTAGACACGTGGCACGTTACATATCTATTTGGTCGTGTATTGATTCACTGTGCACATACTGTCGCCATGTTGGATACCAAGCCAACGACAAATCCGATCCTCTTTTCTACATTTATTTCGCAAATTTTGTCATATGGAAGTGAACTGATTCGAGTTCTTAAATAGCAGTGGACTTACAGTAAATATACTTAGCGATAGAAGTAATAGTTAATTGAATTAAAACTTTAGTTATATTAATTAAAGAAAATAAATTCACTTGTGAAGAAATTAGAGTATAAAATGTGTTATTTGTAATAGTTATCATATACCTATTCAGAATGTTATAAAGTTTGTTGCAATTGTTACTAAAGAACCTTATTTTATAGAGCGAGAGAAGAGTATAAAACACGGAGAGAGCCCTGTGGAGCCAATAAGCAGCTGCAGGGATGAGCATGGCTTTGTGCCAACGGTTGGCCGTTGGGGAAGGACGTGTGAACTGTACCAAGCTTGAGAACAGAGAAAGTTTTTGTTTGTTGGTGCGCTCATTGTATGGGTAAGTTGTATATTTATCTTAATTTTTTTTATGTGTCGTGCGCTGCCGTGTATATTTCCAAAAGAAACTGTTAATTTATTCCAATAATTTCCATATGTGTACTTCAAATATCTTGTGTGCCCTAGTTCAAGAGGGAAATGCCTTTCACTTCAAGCATTGCATATTTTTGCATTGAGTCAATACGTCTAATGACGCAACAAATGGTAAATACAGAATTATAATGATGTATGTAATATAATGCAAAAAAATTAAATGATATATACTCATGAAGTGTACGAAGCCGAGTGTAAAGATAAATATTTTAGGTATCATTGATATTGCTATATTTTGAAACAAATTTAATTACAATTTTTTTATTTTATAATTGTTGCGATATATCGATTCAAGAAAAACATTGAAATAAATCATTGTTTTATCCTTACGTAATTATTTGCGAGATAACAACTGGTTTGTTTTGAACGAAACTGAACAATATTAAACAGTGAAGATTTAATGTCTTCATTCCTAAATTAAAAGCCTACATCGGTATTGGAATTATTTTTTTCTAATGAATACGTGAAAAATAACAGTGGATTAGCGCGAATCGTAACATTATGCGATGAAGGTCGTACTAGACACGTGGCACGTTACATATCTATTTGGTCGTGTATTGATTCACTGTGCACATACTGTCGCCATGTTGGATACCAAGCCAACGACAAATCCGATCCTCTTTTCTACATTTATTTCGCAAATTTTGTCATATGGAAGTGAACTGATTCGAGTTCTTAAATAGCAGTGGACTTACAGTAAATATACTTAGCGATAGAAGTAATAGTTAATTGAATTAAAACTTTAGTTATATTAATTAAAGAAAATAAATTCACTTGTGAAGAAATTAGAGTATAAAATGTGTTATTTGTAATAGTTATCATATACCTATTCAGAATGTTATAAAGTTTGTTGCAATTGTTACTAAAGAACCTTATTTTATAGAGCGAGAGAAGAGTATAAAACACGGAGAGAGCCCTGTGGAGCCAATAAGCAGCTGCAGGGATGAGCATGGCTTTGTGCCAACGGTTGGCCGTTGGGGAAGCGAATGGCCGAGTTGACTCGAGACGGCAGAAATATGGTGCCAGCCACAGGGGCAGGCACGCGGGCCCTGGATTAGGGGTGTGCCGCTACCCCTGCCGGTATGGGCCCATTACGAAGCACCAGCCCTGACCGTTTCCACGGTCGAAGAGTATGAGGAACTAGCAGGCAGCGTTGAATTGGAAACGCAGCACTTACTGCGTGAGCACCGCTATGACACTGTTGGCAACTTCCTTAAGTAAGTGTTGCATATGTTGTTGTGTTTCAATAATCTAACAAGAGCATTTACTAATATTCTATTTCATAAATTACAGATTTTATAAGGATTATACTGCGAGTGGTGAAAATGTACTGGAGAGATTTTATCATAAATATCAACCACTCATAACACGTGAACACCATACTTGCGTAGGCTTGGGATTTGAGTTACTACACCGGTTAAAGAATTTAAACAAACGATTTGCTGATATAGCAAGTGGCCTCTATTTAGTGTCCTGTGAGGAGGTCTGTTTGCTATTTGTTGTATTATTTTGTTTCATACGATATAGACAATGTTGTACTAACAGGTGATATTTTACAGACGATAGATAACGTTGCTAATTACGTCGGTGGACCACCCGCTGCAGACAGTGGAGAAAAGGAACATGTACTAGTGTGCCTGAAAATTAAAATTAGTGGGCGCCGAGGAGTTATGCTTCTCGATCCCGGATATCATGTAGCTCGTGTAATTACTGTGATGGAAGATAAATTGTATCCACATACAGGCTGGTTTATTCAGTCTGACGAACCGGATTGTAAAAAAGAGTACAATTACTTTCTATGTGCTAATGACCCCGATTATGTCGAATGGCATGAAAGGAAAACTCGATCTGGTACTTTGGAAAGAACACAAGTTGCTCTTATTTATGTGGCAAGGCCATATTTAACTGCCATCGATGTTACGGAGCGTAGAAATTTGGTTTATAACTTCAGGAGTATTCTGGCCAGAGATACTAAAGGGCATGTTACAGCTGGTATATATTTTCCTGTTGTGCTAGACATGCATAATGCACAAACTTTTACAGTTTTTTACCAAACTAGCAACGGCAAGAAAAGAATCAAAATGGCATTCAACAAATTTTGCAGTTCACCAAAGGTACAGTATTTTTATTGCAACGAAATATGATTAAATAATTAACGTGAAAGTACTAACAAATATATATATTTTTAGATTAATTCTGATGCTGAAGAAAAGGAAATTATTGCAGAATGTGCTCGGCAGTTAGCCTTGTCACAAGACGCAGTACAAGATTTACTTTCTGCTCTTGCCACGGTTATGAGCGATACCGCTTTCGTGGCACAACTCTTGACTATTAATTCAAGAATTAATACTTTAGCCGAAGACAATTAACAGACATCAATCCGCCCCGCGTGGTGCAAACGAAATATCTATCACTTTTTTTGTCAGTTTTCCTCTTACTTCTTTTTTCTTTTGTTGATTCTCGTGTTAATGCTTTGCTATATGTTATAAAAAATTACTTTTATTCTTGTTACGATATAGGGCATGATATTTTTTAATGAAATTGAATAAAAATATATTGTATTTTACGCACTATTGTGACGTGATTGAATGAAAATATTAACAAGGTATATCAACAATTTTTGGAAATTTTTTTAAAATATATATTGATAATATTTTATTAGTCAGGTTTATATTACCATTTAATAGAAATATTTAATTTGATATGATTTTGAAGTTACTATAAACTTGATAATATTTTCATTGGAATAACATTGAATAACATTAAATTAGTTCTTTACTTATATAAAAACACATGAAAATAGTGGTATTAGGGATAATTTGCTCTGTTCTTTTGTTTTAGCATAAAAATGGGTTTTCAATTTATACTAAATCTGTAACTTTTATTTAAATAAATCATAATGAAAAAACTTATTACATTAAACTGTATGTTTATTGATAAATACACTACTTTAAAATACGTTAGTTTCGGATGTACTCTTAAATATATTCATAAATTCGTAACTACATTTTCACTTACTTTTTTAAACAAAATCTAAAAATTAAACATTTACGATTTATAGAACTAAAAGATAATACTTTAACAATAATTTGTAACGATAAATTAATAATAATAATAGTGATAATAATAGTTTTGTGACAATGTAGTTATAGAGACATCCAAAAGAATTAGATACTCCATAATATTCTTACATTCATACTTTTCCAAATACTTTGATATATAACTTTTTAGACTCTACACATATTTTATTCATCCACAGAGATTCTAAGAAATAGTTCATATGGAAAATGGAAAATAACTGCAGTGAAACTTCGATAAGTTTATTCTATATATCCTAAATAAAAATAGCTTTTTCTTAAAAGAGATTTACAAAATATATAACTAACACTTTTAAATTTATCAGAGTAAATAAGATCAGTAGTTCCTACATTGTCAATATACTACAGAAGGTTCCATATAAGATTAACTTCACCGAAGTTCTGCAGTAATGTTAGAACATAGTTCAAACCAATTTAATAGAAATTCTAAACATTACTATCTGACACAGTGTGACTCTTTTTGCAAACTTTGGTACTCGGTGTATGTTTACGTTTTCGGTTTCCTACACTTGTAGATGCTGCTGATGTAGATTTAACATTAGCAGATTCAATTTGATCGGCTGAATCTGAACTGTAAACATGAAAATGTTAAAATATAATTTATTTTGTTTACTGTGAGATCGGATTTAAAATGAATCATGAATATAATTAGTCCATGTGTAAAAACTGTTAAGTCATCACATTTTAGTTAACCCAGGAGCACATGTAAGAGCCAGCAAAATTTATAATGTTATAAGTGCGAATATATTTGTTGCACTCAACAAAGTATTATTAAATATTGTCAATGTATCAAAGCAGGTAACTAAATTTATAGTAAGAACATCTGTAAAGGAGAAGTCTGTGATTATCTGTATTTATGGGACAGTGCTCTGAAAACCTGTGGAGTAATTTTCACTCTGACGCGTCTACTCCAGGGTTAAAGTCAATAAATGTTTACTAAAAACTTTGTAATAATATTGGAAACATATCCAGAAAATTACAGTAAAATTTCAAGAATATTAAACATATATTTAAAATGTAAAGCAACGTACTTACGTTGCATAAGTGCCATCACTGTGTACTATGCTTTTATTTTATTAATATTTGCGGCTGTACCTGCAATACACAATATATGGTATATTCTATACCAACGTTTTTGTTGTATTACAGATAATGTAAACGGAAAAAGTATAAAGTAAATACAGTGATTAAATAATATTTTACTGTACACAATGAAATAATACGCATATAAAACGGAGTAATACTCTAGCAGTTATAAGTAATAGTAACAGTAGAGTATTACAGTATTTAGTGAACCTTTTAACTTAAAATTAA